ACTCTGACTCCGGCACCGACGATCGGGTGAGTCATACGGAAGAACCCCTACTAATCCCCATAGAAGTAAGGGTCCCATCCACAGGGACCCATGCCAAAATGTTAGCTTTGTTGGACTCGGGGTGCACCAGATGCATAATTAGCCCCCAAGTGGTGGAGGAAATGGGACTAAGACTAAAAACGCTAAAAAGACCCATTGCGTTCTGTCAGTTAGATGGATCGATTGCAGGAGGGGGCCCAGCTATTTTTATGACCGAAGCCCTGGAATTGCAGTTGGGAGACCATGTAGAGAATCTCAGATTTATTGTGGCCCCTGGGATGGAGAGACCCCTTATACTTGGACTGTGCTGGCTTCGAAAATGGAACCCACGGGTAAATTGGAAGACGGGGGTCTTATGCATCCACATGACAAAACCGATCTCAGAGAAGGAAAATTTGCCCGTGAAGGATGAGATACTACCAGAAAGGGTGGAAGTAGCATTAGACTATATTGAAGGGCAGAAGAAAATTCCAAAAGAATATTGGGACCTCAGGGAAATTTTTAGCGAAAGGGCCTCAGACACGCTGCCTCCCCACCGGACTACCGACTGCACCATTGAAATACTCCCTGGGGTGAAGCTTCCCAAACCAAAAATCTACCCCATGACCCCTCGAGAATTAGGGGAATTGCGAAGTTTTATTGATAAGAATCTAGAACGGGGATTCATTGAACGAGCCAAACCCAAGGTGGCGGCGCCAGTGATGTTCCGTGAAAAGAAAGATGGCTCCTTTCGTTTGGTGGTCGACTATAGAAACATAAACGTTATTTGCGTGGAAAATGTTTACCCCCTCCCACTCATGAAGGACATGTTAGCCCATTTAGGGAAGGGAAAGATATTCACCAAACTTGATTTAAGAGAGGCGTACTACCGAGTGAGAATTAAAGAGGGGGATGAATGGAAAACAGCATTTAATTGCCCACTGGGATGTTTCCAGTTCAGAGTACTCCCTTTTGGGTTACAGGGAGCTCCTGCTGTATTCATGCAATTGATCAACGAAGTATTGCATGAGCACCTGTATAAGGGGGTGCTAGTCTACTTGGATGACATTCTTATCTACTCTGAGAACATGGCTGACCATGTCAAATTGGTGCAAACTGTCCTGAAAAAACTCAGAGCTGCGGAACTATATGCCAAACTTTCTAAATGTGAATTCCACCAAGACAAGATCGACTATCTTGGATATCGCATATCGCATGATGGGATAGAAATGGACCCTGAGAAGGTTCGTGCAGTATTGGAATGGGCCACACCACGCACTTGCAAACAGTTACAGAGTTTTCTAGGGTTTGCGAATTTTTATAGACAATTTATCCCCTCGTTTGCAAAAATTGCACTGCCAATTACTGACCTTCTAAAAACAAAAGGGGAAGTAAAGCCCAGACCCTCGAAACCACTGGAATGGACTATGGACTGTCAAGCCGCTTTCGAAAAATTGAAACGGTTGTTTGCGGCTGAACCAGTACTCAAACATCCAGACATGGAACAACCTTTTGTAGTACAAGCTGACGCCAGCGACGTAGCTGTGGGAGCAATACTCTTGCAAAAGAATGAAAAAGGGGAACTACAACCTTGTGCCTACACATCCCGTAAACTCTTGGAAACGGAAAGGAGATGGGCCATATGGGAGAAGGAAGCTTTTGCAGTGAGATGGGCCCTGTTAACCTGGAGACAATTATTAGAAGGAGCGAAACACCCTTTTGAAGTCTGGACTGATCACAAAAATTTAGAGGCATTAAAAACACCACGTAAATTGTCCCCAAAACAAGCTCGCTGGGCCCAACATTTCAATCGTTTCAATTTCACTCTACGTTACCTTCCTGGTGGAAAGAACTTCATGGCAGACGCACTTTCCAGACTGCCTCAGTACAACAGCATCAAAAAGGAGGTGGTTCAGCCTATTATCCCCTTGATTCAATTGGCAGTACCAGTAACTACCAGAGCACAGGCAAAAGTCAAACCAGAACTCACGGGACACTTACTTAAAAAATTGCGAGAAGCTCTGGAAACTGATGAGTGGTTTAAAACCCACTCAAATGAATGTACACTCCGTGACAGACTAGCTTGGATTGGGGCGAAATTGTATGTTCCGGCCAAGTTAAGAGCAACAGTATTGCAATATGCCCATGATTCCAAGGCAGTGGGACACTTTGCATTTGTCAAAATGCTACATTTGGTTAAGAGACAATTTTGGTGGCCTGCACTCAAGAAGGATATACAGGCATATGTCGCTAGTTGTCCAGTCTGCGCCTCAGCTAAAAGACCCCCAGGGAAGCCACCTGGATTACTTCAAAGTGTGGCTAGACCGAATGCCCCGTGGAAGGAAATATCTATGGATTTTATTGTAGACCTGCCAGAGAGTGAAGGGTGTACTGTCATTTGGGTGGTGACGGATTTGTTTTCCAAACAAGTACATTTCATCCCTTGCTCAAAGATCCCTTCAGCAAAAAACCCTTGCAAAACTGTTTATTCGTCAGATTTACCGACTACATGGAGCTCCAAAAAGAATAATCTCGGACAATCTTTGAAATTGATAGGCTCCGCCCCAGGACTAAGTTCCAGTCACCACCCCCAAACAAATGAGGCATGTGAAAGAACCAATGGAGTTTTAGAACAATACCTGAGATGTTATGTAAATTACCAACAAGACAATTGGGTAGACTTATTACCATTTGCAGAAGTGGCATATAATAATTCTATACACAGTAGTACTGGTTTCACTCCATTTAAGGCCAAGATTTCGTACCAATCCCCGAACTACCGCAAGATGATCCCCAAAACCCTTCTTTGATGGACTGGATTGAACAATTAAGGAGCACTTGGGCAGTAACTCGAAAAGCGTTAGATGAGGCACACCGAGCCCATAAGGCACAAGCCGATAAAAAAAGGTTCCCAACACATGTCTATAAAGTGGGTGATAAAGTCTTCCTCTCTACTAAGTACTTACAAACTACCCAAAAATCGAAAAAGCTTGGTCCCAAGTATGTGAGTCCATTTCGTGTAATTAGATTGATTAATCCAGTAACAGTGGAATTAGAGCTGCCAAAAATGCTGAGACGTGTACACCCTGTATTCCATGTTAGCTTGCTAAAACCTGAACACTCGTCTCCGCTAAGAGCTAACCCAAACTTCCCTCCGGTTCCCATATTCATAGAGGGGGAGCAACATTTTGAAGTTAAAGAAATCTTAGACTCTAGGAAACACCATGGTAAAGTGCAATATCTGGTGGCCTGGAAACATTTCCCTTTGTCTCAAGCTGAATGGGTAAATAAACGGGATGTCCGGGCTCCAAAGAAAATACAACAATTCTATACAAAATATAAACCTTAATTCTTGTATATATTTTGTTTCCTCTTTCTCTTTTCCTTCTATCTAGGACTAACGTCCCTTCTGCAGTGGGGCCAAATGTTAGCCTCCACTTTCACTGCTTCAGCTGCCATAAGAAACGGAGGGGGGGAACTAGTCAGGGGGGCGAGGGGAGGGAAGAGCGCAGGAGGTGTCTTTCCAAGAAACGAAACTTATTCTCCAAAGGAGGCATTAGACCAACGGTCACAAATTCCTGATGGATGACGTTGGCAGAGGCGATTCCACCTGACCTTTGGGAGACCTTTGGATTGGATGATGGATGATGAACACAGGGCGGGGGAATGCTATCTAGATGCTATTTCGCGCGTTTTGCTCACTTCCAGCTTTACCTGGGTTGCGATCATTTCATATTCAGTAAAAATACTAATCTCTATAAAATATGGAGTTTGGATCTTTCTTTCCTGGATTTTGAAGGAAGTATACCTGACAGGTATATGCTACAGGCAACTCAACCAAATGGAGGAAATAGATGAACTTTTTGCTAATCATTTAGCTAAGGTGTGCATGAGACCCACTACAGAAGTAATGGGGAAGTTTAACTATCCTGATATCAACTGGGAGACAAACTGTATCAAGTGGGAGATTAAGCAAGTTCCTGACAAATAACTTTATCATCCAAAAGGTAGAGGAGGAAACCAGGGGGGTCAGCTGTACTGGACTTCTTACAAATAGGGATGAAATGATAGAGGGGGATGAAGTTGCAGGAACTTTAGAGGAAAGTGACTATATCATACTGGAATTCAATATATGGGTATGTCTAATTTAATGACAAGAAGGACTAGTGGTGATATGATAGCAGTGTTCCAATAGTTGAGGGGCTGCCACAAAGAAGAGGGTACTATCTTATTCTCCAAAAACCTGAAGGCAGGACAAGAGACAATGGGTGGAAACTTATCAAAGAGAAATTCAACCTAGACTCAAGGAGAAACATCCTGACAGTGAGAACAATTAATCAATGGAATGGCTTGAATCCAGAAGTTGTGGGTGCTGTATCACTGGAGGTTTTTAAGAAGAGAAGGGACAGTGATTTGTCTGACATAGTATAGTGTCTCCTGCTTGAGCAGGGGGCTTGAACTAGAAGACCTCTAAAGTCTCTTCCAACTCTGTTATTTTTCTGAATAAACATCTTTCAGGAAGTTCAAAGCTTAGAAAAGAATCTTTACTAACTATATTAGGAAAAACCTGATAAAAATATTTGTGTGACTGCTTAGTTTTTTGAGCACAGATTCTCCATTTTAAATTGAGTCTAAAACACCATTTGGTGGAATCCACCATAGTCTAGCATGCTTTTCAAATATCTTGACAATATGCTACTTATTGTCCATTCCTTCGATTATTCAAAAAGGAAACTATGAGTGCAAACTTCAAAATTCAGTGACAGTGCAATTCAGTACCACTCTCAAAAATAATGTTCAGATGAGAGAAATCAAATAGAAACAGTAGGGAAATATTGTGAATCCTGTTAACTCTTATTGTCTTACATTAGTTCATTATGCAGAAACTGGACCAAGATTATTTACATTAAGTAAAATTAAATTATTATTATTATTATTATTATTATTATTATTATTATTATTATTATTTAAATGCACTTTACCAGATTCATCATGATCATGCTTCAAGTAAACAGGATCTATTTTAAAGGCACATGTTAAATCCAATCTCTTCTTCACCCTGCACAGATATTGAATATAGATGATCACTGCTTTATTTAAAAGTTTACCTATTTCTATAAAACCTAGAAATAGAGACATCAGTTTAAATCAATTCGAATTAATCAATGGAGAAGTATTAACTGGAGATTAAACTTTAATCTCTCATTAATTAATTAGGGTTGCATTAGATAATTTCTAGGATTCTTTCCAAGTCTACAATTCTATAAAATAAAAAAAAATTGACTACAAAGATTAATGAATTCATCAGTGTTTAAGTCATGTAAATGTACAATCTCCTTATCTGATAAATATTGAATTTAACAATATTATTATTATTATGTTAACAATATTTAGAGAGTAATGTCATGTGATAACACTCTTAATAATTTTTGTATTTCCTTCTTACCACATAGCAGAACAATCAAAGTTGACCAGGAGCCACTTATGAGGGTTGAAGTTGAATGAATCTGCATACTACAAAAAAGAAATCAGACCAACTATTATAGCATGACCTGAAATAGTTTCCAAAATGTCATTCTTTAAAATGTGATAAATACTGGCATGTTGAAAGACCTCTTTGAATTTTCAACTCAACCCATTTCAAAGGACGCTGATGTGGGGAAAATAGGTGAAGGAAGGATTATTAGGTATGTTCACCATCTTGAGTTATGCATAAAAATAATGAAAACTGTAGTAATGGTCTGCATTACCTACACAAAAGGTACATATATCACCTACATGGTCTGCACTATCTACATGAAGGACTTCTGGCAAGGGATAGGCTGCACCTCACAAGAACCAGGAAGAATGTATTGGGAAAATGACTGTCTCAATTTATTAGAAGGGCTTTAAACTAAAACTGAGGGGGGAAGGTTACCAATCCTTAGGATCTTTGGGATCTATTCCCAAGCATAAACCTCAAGGCAACCAATCAAATAATGAGGTAAGGAGTGACGGGAAGGAAGAAAAGCTCAGATACAAAGTAGGAGATATAGGAAGCATACTCAAGGTCAGCTTTAAAGGACTCAAAATGCCTATATGCAAATGCTCAAAGTTTGGGGAACAAATAAGATGAACATCAAGTACTAGTACCTGTGGGCAAGTATGATATATTTGCCATTACCAAAACTTAGTGGGATGAAACTCATGACTTAAATGTACTGATGGAAGGATACAAACTATTCAAAAGAAACAGACCTTACAAAAGAGGAGGCAGAGTTCCATTATATGTAAAAAAAAAAAAAATACTATTGGTGTATACCTACAGAAATGCAGAAAAACAAGAATCAAAGCCTCCTAGAATACATATGGGTCTATATAAAAGAAAAAAAGAATGACATTGCCATACATTTATACTACAGGTCACCCAACCAAGCAGAAGAAATACAATAGATAAACATTTTGCTAACCAGTTAACAAATGTATGGCTGAAACACACCACAGTAGCAATGGGGGACTTTACCCTGACATCAACTGGGACAAAAACATTGCATCAAGTGGGAGTTTGAAGAGGCTCCTGACCAACCTAGCTGACATTTTGTCATCCAAAAGGTAGAGAAAAGTATTAGAGGACCAGATATACTGGACTTAATTCTTACTAACAGAGAAAAAGTGATTGGGGGGATGGAAGGGGGGTTGCCGGAACTTTGGGAGAGAATGACCATGTCATATTGGAATTTAATATAATGCAAACACAAACAGTAGACCATAATAAAACCAGTGTCTTAGACTTTAAAAGATCTGAGTTTAACAGACTTAGAGCTTGAGAAGGATTCCATGGATGAAAATTTTAAAAGAGAAAACAGTTCAAGAAGCTTGGGAAATTTCTGAAAAATTTTATTATAAAAGCCCAGTCCAGCTTAAACCACAGAAAATGAAAAATAAGAAATCCAAGAAGGAACCTGCATTGTTACCCAAAGAATTCTGTGACAAACTGAAAGATAAAAAGGATAAGTATAAAAAAAGAAAGAAGGCACATAACTAAGGCAGTATACCAACAAGTAGCTCAAATATGCAAAGATTAAGTCAGAAAAGCTACAGCTCAGAATTTATTTATTTATTTATATTTAAATTTATATACCGCCCTTCTCCCGAAGGACTCAGGGCGGTGAACAGCCAAAGGTAAACACACAGAATACAAAAATTAAGAATAGTTTAAAAAACATATTAAACAATTTTGGCCCCACAATTAAAATACCCCTTTTAAAATTAAAATTAAGCAATTGGAGAAGTTAGGACAGCCCGGCTTGTTGAAATAAAAAGTCTTGAGGGCCCGGCGGAAAGTACATGAATCCGGAATCCTCTGTATCTCTGGGGGGAGCTCGTTCCAGAGGGCAGGTGCTCCCACAGAGAAAGCTCTCCCCCTGGGGGCTGCCAGTCGACATTGTTTGACGGAGGCACGCTGAGGAACCTCTCTCTGTGGGAGCGTACTGGCCGGTGGGAGGCTCTCGGTGCAGAAGGCGGTCTCGTAGGTATCCAGGTCCTAAGCCATGGAGCACTCTAAAGGTGGTAACCAACACCTTGAATCGCACCCAGTGGACCACCGGAAGCCAGTGCAGCTTGCGCAGGAGAGGTGTTACATGGGAACGCCATGACGATCCCACAACCACCCGCGTGGCCGCATTCTGGACCAGTTGGAGCTTCTTGGTGCTCTTCAAGGGGAGCCCCATGTAGAGAGCATTACAGTAGTCCAGGTGGGAAGTGATGAGGGTATGAGTAACTGTGCGCAAGGAGTCCCGATCCAGAAAGGGACGCAACTGGCAAATCAGGAGAACCTGATAGAAAGCCCCCCTGGCCAGGGCCATCACATGTTCTTCTAAGGACAGCCGTGCATCCAGGAAGACGCCCAAATTGCGGGCCCTCTCCGTGGGGGCCAATGACTCGCCCCCAATAGTCAGAGATGGCACCAGCTGACTATATCAGAATGCCGGGAGCCACAGCCACTCGGTCTTGGAAGGGTTGAGCTTGAGCCTGTTTCTCCCCATCCAGATCCGCACGGCCTCCAAACACCGGGACATCACGTCAAGGGCATCATTGGGGTGTTCGGGGTGGAAATGTACAGCTGAGTGTCATCAGCGTACTGATGGAACTTCACCCCAAAACCACAGATTATCTCACCCAGTGGCTTCACATAAATGTTGAACAGAAGGGGCGAGAGGACCGACCCTTGCGGCACCCTACACACAAGGTGCCTCGAGGTCGACCTCTGGCCCCCTGTCAACACAAACTGCAACAAGTCAGAGAGAAAAGAGAAGAACCACCACAACATGGTGCCCCCACCCCAACCTCTCCAACTGGCACAGCATGATACCATGGTCGATGGTATCAAAAGCTGCTGAGAGATCTAATAGGACCAGGACCGAGGAACAACACCTGTCCCGAGCCCTCCAGAGATCATCAACCAATGCGACCAATGCCATTTCTGTGCTATACCTAGGTCTGAAACCCGACTGGAGCGGATCAAGATAGACCGCTTCATCCAGGTACTGGGGGAACTGTCACACCACCACTCTCTCAACAACCTTTGCCACAAAGCAGAGGTTGGAGACTGGACAATAATTTGCTAAAACAGCCGGATCCAGGGAGAATGAAGTAAGACTTGTAACAAATGTCAAAAATAATTTTTTTTAAAGTTTCTTTCAACATATAAAAAACAAAAAAAATTCAAGGAAACAATTGATCCACTAAGCAGAGAAGAGAGCAAGGAAGTATTGGGCAGTAGAGAGAAAGCAGAGCTACTTTCAGTCTTTGCATCTGTCTTCATGCAAAAAGATAATACAGCCTAACCTACAAAAACATAATCATAAAAGCAGACTAGGAATACAAACTAAAATAAGAAAGAAAATGATAAGAGAACACCTGTCTGCTCTAGATGAGTTCAAATCACTGGAATCTAATGGATTACATCCCAAAATTCTAAAGGAGCTATTGAACCATATCCTTCTTAGATCTGGAATACCAGGGAACTACCAGAGAACTGGAAAGGGGTTATGTGGTTCTCATTTTCCAAAAAGGAGGAAAAAAAAACAGACCCAGGAAACTACAGACCAGTCTGGCATCAATACCTGGAAGATCCTGGAAAACATATAAAGCAACAGATCTGCATACACCTAGAAGCAAGCAAAGTTATAACCCGAATCCAACATAGGTTTGTCAAAAACAGATCATGCCAAACAAATCTTATTCCATTCTTTGACAAAGTGGACATAACTAGTGGACCAGAGAAATGCAGTGGACATAATATACTTGGATTTCATTAAGGCATTTGACAAAGTAGACTACAGGCTACTTCTTGGTAAGCTAAAAAAACCTGGGATAAACAGCATCACAACCAGATGGATTTGTAATTGGCCAACAAACCACACTGAATGTGAATTCCTTAATGGAACTACATCTACATGGAAGGAAGTTGTCAAGACTGACTCAAACTTTCATCTATATTCAGTTTTGCTCACAGCCTGACCGCTTAGAGAGGGCTATAAAGCACTGTAAAGTGGTATATAAGTCTAAGTGCTATTGCTATTGACAAAGAATGTGGGGGGGATTGGAATGCAAGGGTGGGAGAAATGGCCCCCAAGCATCATTGGTTCCCATGAGACATTGCTACCCCTCTCAAGCACAGCCAGAACAGATGCCACAGCGTGATCTTCTGGTTCCCCCAAAAAAATGAATAGAAGTGATTAGTGGATGTAGGATACCCCAAGGTTCTGTTGTATACCCAGTACTCTTCAACATCTTCATAAATGATTTAGATGAGGGAATAGAAGGGGAACTCATCAAATTTGCAGGTGACACTAAACTGGAAAGAATAGCCAACACCCCAGGAGATAGGCTTAAGATCCACATGGATCTTGACCGATTTGAACATAGGGCCCCATCTAACAAAATGAAATTCAGTGGTGAGAAAAGTAAGGTTTTGCACTTAGGCAAGAAAAACCAAATGTAAAGGTTCAGATTAGGTGAAAGCTGGCTCAGTAGCAGTAACTGTGAGAGGGATCTTGGAGTCTCAGTGGACGATCACTTAAATATGAGCCAGCAGTGTGTGGCAGCAGCCAAAAAAGCCAAATGCAATCCTAGGCTGCATTAACATAAGGATAGAATCAAGATGATGTGAAGTACTAGTACTGCTTTATAAAGCCTTAGTAAGAGCACATATAGAATACTGCACTCAGTTTTGGTCACCATATTATAAAAAACATGTTGAAACTCTGGAAAGAATGCAGAAAAGACCAACAAAGATGATTATGGGGCTGGAGGCTTATACATATAAACAATGGTTACAGGAATTGGGTATGTGTAATCTAGAGAAAAGAAGGACTAGGGAGTGCCATGATAGCAGTATTCCAGTATTTGAGAGCCTGCCACAAAGAAAAGGGGAGTCAATTTATTATCCAAAGCTCTAGAAGGCAATACAAGAAACAAGGGTTGGAAACCAGTCAAGGAGACAAGCATCCTATAACTAAGGAGAAATTTCCTAACAGTGAGAATCATTAACCAGTGGAACAACTTCCCTTCAAAAGTGATGGATGCTTCATCACTGAAGGCTTTTAAGAAGAGAATGGATAGCCACTTGTCTGAAGGAGTATGGGGTCTCCTGCTCGAGCAGGGGGTTGGATTAGAAGACCTCCAAGATCCCTTCCAATTCTGCTATTTTATTTATTTATTTATTTATTAATCAAATTTCTATACCGCCCTACTCCCGAAGGACTCAGGGTGGTGAACAGCCAAGATAAAATACAGATAATACAAATATTTAAAATCCCTTAAAATTATTAAATATTTTGGCCGAAACACAAATTAAAACACCCAATTTATAACATCACGAATTAAAAAATTTAAAAAATAATTTTGTAAAGTTATATGAGGGAATACTTTCTTTTTCACACAACTATACATCTACCCCACTCTCACATATGTTGAACAGGGATATGCTAAGAGTATCATATGTTTATTTCCTTTTCTTCCTTTTGGGGTGTCTATTTGTCAGTGTTGATACCAACTGCCTGAATGATTCCCTGCATTTTTCTTAGCAATATTTTCAGAAGTGGTTTGCCAGTACCTGCTTCCTAGATTTGAGAGAGAGTGACTAGCCCAAGATCACCCATATGGTCTTATGCCCAAGGCAGGATTAGAATCTCATGGTTATAGCCAGGTGCCTTAATTGCTATACTTAATTGGCTTTTTTCACACAATTAATAAAGATTATTCTTGGATTAATTTGACAAAATTACTTAATTTAAGTATGTGCTAATGCTATTTGAATTGGGACATTCTAAACACTGTCCTCACTTCATCCCAATGGTGTTAAGAACGGCAAAAGACCTAGTGATATGACCCAGCATCTCGTGTTGAAAGGAAAAGTTTGGGAATACTAGACTTTCCCTGCATCATAACAGTTTTTCCATCAGGTTATTGCTCTGTTATGTAAAACAAACTTATCTGATAGAAACAGTGAGCAAATCGGTAGAAGTAGGAAATTTATTCACACTTATTGAATGGTTGCTACCCTGAAAAATGCTGTGTTACCCTGCAAGTGATGATTCATTTCCTTTCAAAGCCAATAAAACCTACCCAGGAAATTACAGTGGGCTTTGTTTGCTGATAAAATGAAAAGAAGAGATGCTTTACAGGTTAGCTTTCCCCCTCCTTTTTCTTTATTAGTCTGTAGCCAGTAGGCACTGACCTTCTCCAAAGATTGTTTTTTCTTCTGTTGACATAGAATTTATCTGACAGCTGAAGAGAAGCCCAGGAAATTGCATTGCCCTTATCTAAGGAAGCACAGGGAAAGTAGCTAGGCATTATTGAAAAGGGGGGAAAATATAAAAGAAAAATATTATACACAGAATGTTAAACAAATTCTTCCCACCCATGCTGTGTTGTGAATGGAAGAAAGAAAGCAAGAATTTTGCTACCTTGATTTTCAAATAAATGCAGGTAGGAAAGGTGATAATTAAATGGAATTATTTATTTCAAATAAATTGACAGTATCAATCTATAGTTGTAGGACTATTCAAAAAGGAAAGACAGCCTTGCTCATCACTTCATTTTTGCTATTTCCTTTGAATAGAAGGAACATCAAAGGAACTTGATTGATAGGTTGGTTGGTTGGTTTCATTTCTATTTTACTGTAGTCAAATAAAAGGGCCAAAAGTGTTCTTGATTATTTATGGTTCCTTTAAGATCATGGCTAGGACACATCCAGTGGTGCTGGCAAAAAAGACAGAAACACACAATGATATCCAAGGGTTTGTGAGTACTTTATGCTACTCACAAAGGAGTTCTTTTAATCTATCAACCAAAAAGGACATTTCCATGTAGATAACGTCTCAGTCAGGCACACACATAACTTTTCAAATGACTCCACTGGATCTGGAGAGGATGAGGAGGAGTAGGTAGGGAAAGGGAAAGATTACTCTTTCCAGTAAGGATATCGATCATCAATCTCTTCCCTAACATGAGATAGGGGAAACAGCAAGTTTTAATAGAAGTCTATGCCCTTGGATAGTCTATGGATTCTGAGATGGCCTAGTACCCTTTCCCCAAGGCCTTTCCCCAACCTAGCAGGAGAGTTTTGTGGAAAGATTGGTAAAGAGCGGTCTCCCCAGATCCTCTTATCACTCCTACCAGATTTGGTAGCAAGCTGCCAGAATTGAGTAGGGTCCCAAGAAACCTGGAGAGTCCATCTGTCAGCTCTTGTTAACCATCCCAAGAAATAACCAACATATGCTCTAGAAAAAGCATGTAGAAACAGGAGAAATTCTATTTCACCATGTCAACTTCAAAGAATGCTATTTGGACACTTTTAAACACTTATTTACTATTCTTCTGAACACTTATTTACTATTCTTCTGAAAGAGAAACATTTTCACTGTTTAAAAATATAAATGTAGGGCTCTTTGAAAAGAGCACTGAATCCATGTTTAAAGTAGCCTAGTTGACAGCAAGGGATGATGGGTGCAGTGTGGTCATTCCTTCTCTCTGCATCATATACAAGCTGTCTCCCACGTATCTATTAAATGTTTTTCAGACTTTTTTTCAAACAAGGGTCTTGTGCTTTAAATTTTGGCTATCTGTTTTAAAAATAGGATAAAGAAAACAACAGGTGGTGGCAACAGCAACAGGCAGCTGATTGGCAGTATTCTGGGAGGCTGATCCAACTGCCAATTGGAGATTCAAACAGTTCGGCCGAACCGTTTGTTAAAGTGAGGAGAATTGACTGATCCCACCACTGCTGTCCTGTTCATCAAGCAGTTCGCCAAGGATGCCCTGCTGCCACCCTGCCGCTGGACCTGCCGCCCCACCGCTGGGCCTGCCACCCCGCCGCTGGGCCTGCTGCACCACCACTACCACCTGCCACACCGCCACTGGACTTGCTGCACTGCTGCCGCCACTTGCCACCCTGCTGCCACCTGCCGCCCCTTCGCATTGCCAGGCCTGCCACGCCGCCTGGACTGTGTGGACTGTTTGACTGTGAACCCAGAGACACAGAGAGAGGTATGTCTTGGCTTCCAGTGCTGGAGAGAGGGGGCAAGGGTTAGGGTCATTGTCATTGTCGCGCGCGAGACAAGACAGGGCTCCTCTTGCCATCCATTTCCCCCCGCAATCATTGGGCATGGCATGGGTTCCTGCCCCACTGCAGCCATCGATGCACTTTGGGGTGGCAGACTGTCTTTTATTAGCACGGCAGGCATGCCAGAACCTGCCTGGTTGTCTTTATAAAGATAATATGGCTAGATTTTTTTTTTTCGGGAGGAAAAGAATCACCAATGTCCTGAAATTCTCAGCTTGCTATTGTTACTGTAGTTTAGGGTGGGGGTGTAATGAGTTAGTGTGGCATGTACTCTATATGGCATACCGGTATCTTGTATGAATGTATGAACATGGTTTCAGCTACAGTACTCTGTATTGTTAAAAGGACACATTACTGTTCTTTCTTGCAGAAAAATACTACAGTATCTCCTGATGATACTTATTGATACAAGGATGTCAAAGCAAAAAAGGCAAGCATATAAAATTTATTTTAAACTGGAAGTGATGAAATATGCTGAGGAACATGGAAAAAGAGCAGTGGAGAAATATTTTGGACCACCTCCAACTGAAAAAATGATAAGAGAGTGGAGGAAACAGATGGATCAGCTGCAAAAAGTAAAAGATAAAAGCAAACACAACTTTCATGGGCTTCCTACAAAGTGGCCACAGTTAGAGGTGGACATGAAAGACATCACCGGAATAATGGCTTCGCAGTTTCCACAAAAATGGTAATATATGAAGCCAAATGCACTGCTGTACAGAAAGACATTCATGATTTTACTGGATCACCATCATGGTGCTTCAGATTTATGAGGCGATATGGCCTTGCTATGTACACCAAAACTAGTATTGAGCAAAAAATGCCAAAAGAGTATGAATCCAAGATTCTGTCTTTTCATACATTTGTGAAAGACGCTAGGAAGAAAAATAATTTTGAACTGCATCAAAGAGATAGCATAGCACTTCTATACCATGTAGGACCTACTTTCCTAGCATTCTAGTGGGCAGAAGTCAAAGCAATCCATTGTTTTGCTGAGAACAATTTACTTCATTTGTGGGTCAAGTTGTTAAGAATCACTGATGGTATGTTGGGAACACTGATATTAATACCAAACAATGTCTTACGTGATTGTAAAAGTATCAGCTAAATGGTCCGGTTGTATTATATTCTGAATTATAGGACTCTGACTTGCCTCTACTCCATTGAGAAGGTAACGAAATTCAGGGCAGATGAAAGCACTCCCAGCATAGGCTGCATCAATATGCATCCAAATATTCTCCTTATTACCTAGAGAAAAAAATATCTTAGATGCAATATATTTTTACCTAATAAAATTATTGCAAAGGTGGGGAGAATGATCAGCTGGCAGTTGCCCCACATAAAACAGGTGACAGTCAGGGAGGGTTTAAGCAATGGTCTTGCTGAATACACTTTTCACATCCAAAATTAGGACACCACCACCCAGTGACAAGCCTGATTGAAGGCTATAGGAGCATGATCAGGATGAACACTGGGAAAAGTACATTTTCTACAAGTACAAACATCTGTTTGCTCAAGGATAGGTAGAAAGTACAATAGTTTGACAGTAGGAAGAAGGTCTAATACTCATAAAGTGAGCCTTTGAAATCCCTGAGGCAATTATATATAATTTATTTAATTTGTTTCCCATTAATTTCAAGAAAGTTAATTATAATCAACTTAATCTGAATTCTACCCATGAATTATAGAAGCAGCTGTCTAAAAAAAGCAGTATAAATAAATCAAGAAAGGTCTGTCAATTGTCCTGAAATATACTCTACCTATATTCTACTGTTAATTCTTATTGACAAGTCATTAATGTCCCTTTTTGGGAAAGGTACCAAATAATAACAGTCATATAATGTCTGAAATTTTACAAAAAAGATGAATCTCCTCTGGCTATGGAAGTTTCTCGGCCTTTGATTTCCTGATGGAATACTTTTTCAGGGAATATAATCCTATTGAAAACATTTCTGCTCTTCTGTTTGCTCACTGTTTGCTTTTCCCATAGTCTGCCCACTCCCCAGCCCTCAACTATTATATATATTTAATGGGTAGGCTCAGCACCAAGCTTCTTGTTTTAAAATAGAAAATAAATTCTTTCTATAGTGTTCCAAGGCTGCCTAGCAAGAATGGAGTGATCTACAGTAACTGTAATTTACTAGAGAAAAAATTATATGAAAGAAATATTATGGAAGTCATACATGCTACGGATTCATTGTGTTCAATACTTCGTACATCATTGGTAATATTCAGTGAATGACCAAAAAGAAAGGCATTAAATCACACTTCATCTTCTGATACTGCTGTTCTAGATTAGGATCCTCAGTCTTCAACGTTTTTTTTTTTAATGCTTTTGTTATTTCTTATGTATCTTCTACTATAACAGACTGTATATTATCCCCTTTTCCTTGATCACTGGTCATTTCTATAAAATATCATTATGCAGGTAGATATAGGGGCATTCAGGCAAGATGATCTCCAAATAATCAATAAAGAAGATTTTTTCTTGCTCAGTGTTGAAATGAATGCTTGGAGTTCTCTGAGTTTGGTTGTTTTCTTCCAGATGTTTCATTACTCAAACTAGGTAACACCAGTGCTTGTAAAGAGTGGGGTTTGTTCTCAGTTTATATTCTAGTCTACTGGCTTGCCAGTAGTCAGTCTGGTTTCTGGTCACAATCTTCCTGGATCAAGCATTGCTTGGGTAAAGAGGATTTTTTAAAAAATTAATTTCAGTTAATAAATCAGCTTTACCCTTATCTAGTGAAAAAATAAGGAAAGAAACCTGACAAACTACCCACTACTTCAATACAAGATGCCCCTTGAAGAAGAATTATAGCTAACCAAGAATGTGATGGCTTGTAGGGTCTACATTACACTTGTATTTAAAAAGCTCCTCTACATGTCCCTTGTTTTCCAAGCTCAATCCAAAATTCTCACTTTGGGGTATAAGGCTGTATAGAGCTACACTCAGGATACCTACAGCGTGGCCTGCTCCTGCACAGTTTACTACAGATTTTCTATAGTCTTTTGCAGACTTCATGATGGATATATGTTATATCAATGGCATTTTTTTTCTTGGTGGGACTTTTCATCATGGAACAAACTGCTGTTAGGGTTGAGGCCATTGTCCTCCCAGTTTAGGAGGGAGTAGAGTACTGATCTTTCTTGCCTGGACTTCTAGAGTTCTAAGGATTTTAAACTTCTGATTTTCATATATGCTTTTTAATGGTTATAAATAAGTACTAAAATATTGTAATTGATTTAAGATTGGGTGGCATATAAGTGAGTAAAATATATTTTTCCCAGCTAAAAAATTCAACCAACTTTAGAAATGATGCCAAAAATGTATTTGTCTAATGAAATTGTGCAGGAATACAACGTTTTTCTGCTGAGCAGGTCTCTTACTTGAACTCTATTAAGGCTCCACAGGGCTTAATACAATACGACAGACATATCAAAAGCAGATTTTTAATGTTCAGATAAAATGATCACTTGTTAACTTACAAATGGGACCCAATTCTAGCAGATTGTCAAAGGAGCAGCATGTTGTAGTTCCAAGAGTTGCACACAACTGCAAGTCCAAAAAACAACAAAAATAGACATTTTAAAAATAGCATTTAATGTGATGATAATGCACAATCTACAAACATAATTTTCAGTATATTCACGATTGGCACAAAGCTGCTAATCTAATTTCATGCAGCCATATTTAAGGTGTCCTATGATTATGCACACATACTTTATCAAAGACAACAAAACATTTTCAGTTAAAAATTACTGCGAAGCGGTAATAAAGGTAAGTAGAACCCACCCCTGGTTGGTTCTCTTTTTTTGGTGCAAAGTTGCATAATCATCATAACAACAACAACAACAACAACAACAACAACAACAACAATAACTTTATTATGGTCACAGACCTGCAATATACAAAATTATCGCTGTTTACAATAATGTAAAAAACATTACTAATAATAATAATAAGTAATAACATCCATAATAATAAAATACATGTATCAAACAATATGGATCCTACTCTTGATTATATGATGGGAGAGCAGGTAAGTATGTGTGTAAATATAGATTTCTTAAAAATTGTTAGAGATATCTACAAGAAATTGGTGCAGTAAACATCTTTAATTGTGTAATCGGATTTTCCTTGTTGTGGTTGCAGCTGCACAGAATTTTACTACTGCACGTGTGATAGCTGGGTTTGAGTCCCCTGAGGAGATAGACTACATAAAAATTGTCTGCCCTTCCTGGTAATCTCTCTAATAAGGGGAGAATATGCATTGGCCTAAAAACTCTGTATAACTCACAGTGCACTAAAACGTGTGATATCTTCAACTTCTCCTTTACCACATATACATACCAGTGGTGGGTTTCAACCAGTGTTACCACCAGTTCTATTGATTACTTGCTTAGCTTGGTCAAACCCTAGGGATATTAAAAATGCCAGGTTACACCTCACTTTCAAGATGGAATTAGCATACAATTTTTATATGAGGTAGAGGACATGTTTATCAATAACAGTGAGTTTTAATTTCTCTCAGAGGGTATTTCTGGATATTGAGTCAAAGGCCTGCTTAAAGTCAAGGAAGGCTACAAAAAGAGAGGATTTTTTATATATATGTGTGTGTGTATTTTTGGACCAGATGGTGCAATACCAAAATATTTATTTATTATTAATTAATTAATTTATTTATTAATTTTATATCTATACCGCTCTTCTCCCGAAGGACTCAGGGCGGTGTACAGCCTAATTAAAAACACAAAGACAGACAAAATTTAAAAATTATTAAAATTATTAAATAATAGGCCCAATTTATAAAACCCCAAATTTAAAATCCCATTTAAAACCAATTAAAATCTGTACATTGATGTAAAGCCTGGCAGAACAACATGGTTTTGAGGGCACAGCGAAACACATGGAGATCAGAGATTTTACGAATTTCTGGGGGCAGATCATTCCAAAGGGCAGCGGCTCCCACAGAGAAGGCCCTCCCCCTGGGTGTCGCCAGCTGACATAATTTGGCCGATGGCACCCTGAGGAGACCCTCTCTGGGGGAGCGAACTGGCCGGTGGGAGGCTACTGGTGGCAGAAGACGGTCTCGAAGGTATCCAGGTCCAATGCCATGGAGCGCTTTAAAGGTGGTAACCAACTCCTTGAATTGCACCGGAAGACCACTGGGAGCCAGTGCAACTTGCGCAGGAGGGGTGTCACGCGGGCACAACAAGTTACGCCCATAACCACCCGCACGGCCGCATTCTGGACCAGTTGGAGCCTCTGGGTGCTTTTCAATGGGAGCCCCATATAGAGAGCATTGCAGTAGTCCAGTCGGGAGGTGACAAGGGCATGAGTGACTGTGCGCAAGGCGTCGCAGTCCAGAAAGGGCCGCAACTGGCGGATCAGGTGATAAAAAGCCCCCCTGGCCACGGCCGTCATATGTTCTTCTAAAGACAGCCATGCATCCAGGAGGACGCCCAGATTGCGGGGCTTCTCTGTGGGGGGTAAAGACTCACCCCCAATAGTCAGCGATGGCACCAGCTGATTATATCGCGACGCCAGGAACCACAGCCACTCGGTCTTGGAGGGGTTGAGTCTGAGCCTATTTCTCCCCATCCAGACCCGCATGGCCTCCAGGCAGCGAGACATCACATCAAGGGCATCGTTGGATGCATCGTTGGCATCTGGGGTGGAGATGTACAGCTGAGTATCATCAGCGTACAGATGGACTCTCACCCCAAAACCACGGATGATCTCACCCAGCGGCTTCACATAAATGTTGATCAGAAGGGGTGAGAGGACCGACCCCTGCGGCACTCCCCATGCAAGGCACTCGAAGTCGACCTCTGCCCCCCTGTCAACATGAACTGCGAGTGGTTGGAGAGGAAGGAGGAGAACCACCGCAAAACGGTTCCCCCTATTCCTAACCCCCTCAACTGCTGCAGCATGATACCATGGTCGATGGTAACAAAAGCCGCTGAGAGATCTAACAGGACCAGGACAGAGGAGCAACCCCTGTCCCGAGCCCTCCAGAGATCATCCACCAATGCGACCAATGCTGTTTCTGTGCTGTACCCCTGCCTGAAGCCCGACTGGTACGGGTCCAGATAGATAGCTTCATCCAGGTGCTCGGGCAGTTGTTGTGCCACCACACTCTCAACAACCTTCACCACAAAACGAAGGTTGGAGACCGGACGGTAGTTGGCTAATTCAGCCGGGTCCAGGGAAGACTTCTTGAGGAGGGGCCTCACCACCGCCTCTTTCAAGGCAGCGGGAAAGGCACCCTCACTCAGAGAAGCACTTATACTCCCCTGGAGCCAGCCTCGTGTAACCTCCTGGGTAGCCAGTACCAACCAGGAGGGACACGGGTCCAATAAACATGTGGCGGCACTAATATTACCCAGAACCCTGTCCACATCCTCGGGAGCCACAGGATCAAACTCCTTCCAGATAATATTCTCAAGACCTACCCTCGTCTCCTCCCCTGGACTCACCCAGTCGGAGTCCAAGCCTTCCCGAATCCGAGTGATTTTATCATGCAGGAATTGCACAAAATCCTCAGCTTGACCCTACAACGGATCTTCCCGCACTCCCCCCCAAAGAAGGGAGTGGGTCACCCTAAACAAGGTGGCTGGGCGGTTCTCTGCAGATGCGATAAGAGCGGAAAAATAGTTAGATTTTGCCACTTTTATCGCCACTAGGTAGGTGTTGATATAAGACCTCACCAGTGTCCGGTCGGAATTGGATTGACTAGTCCTCCAAATGCTCTCTAGATGTCTTTTCCGACGCTTCATCTCTCTCAGCTCCTTGGAGAACCAAGGAGCCAATCGAGGTCGGCATCGGGTCAGAGGCCGCAAAGGCACGACGCGGTCCAAAGCCCCAGCAGCCGCCCTCTCCCAGGCAGCCACCAGGTCTTCAGTCGAGTCGTGTGCCAGGAAATGGCCCAAGCTCCATCAGGAACCTTTCGGGATCCATCAGGCGCCTGGGACGGAACCATTTAATCAGTTCCGTCTCCTTGCAGCGGGGGAAATGGCAGGAAAGTCCAAGCGAAGAAGAGAATGATCTGTCCATGACAAGGGTTTAATGTCTAAATCCCTTCTACCAAGATCATTCAATCAGAGATTTTCATCTCTGACTAGAGATGAAAATCAAGTTCAGAGTGTGTCCCCCTGTGTGAGTGGGGCCCTGAAGTAATTGGGTCAGGTCCATGGCCGCCATGGAAGCCATGAACTCCAGAGCCACCTCTGACGCCTCACCTGCAGATGGCAGGTTGAAATCCCCCATGACAATAAGTCTGGGGGTATCAACCGCCACCCTGGCAATAACGTCGAGCAGCTCAGGCAGGGTCGCCGCCACGTAGTCAGCAAACCCATCTGCCTCCCACGGCCCCACTTCACGAGGAGGGACTCACATCTGGCTATCTGAGGAACAGTGGTCTCCCTCGGACTAAGACTTTCCCTAATAATCGTCGACACTCCCCCACCCCTCCCCTGGGCCCTTGGCTGGTGAAATGCACAGAAACCTGGTGGGCACATTTCAACGAGGTTCAAACATATCTTCCTAGGTTGTCTCAGGCATTTATTGCGCCTCTGCCTGTCTATGGGGATGTTGAGAACTACAAAAGAAAGAACTATGACACTGCCTTGTGTTCCTTCAAAGAAAAACTACATTATACAGAGAGAACGAGGAATAAAGCATTGTGAAAAAGAATTTCAAATCTCTTCAAATATAATGGTATATATAGAAAACTTGCAGAGTTATGTTATCAATAAAACAAAACATGAACATCTAAATGTGATACTCAAGTCATGATTTTTCCAAAAATTACTCTGTACATACTTGAAACACAAACTACATAAAACTAGATTTTTTTACCCGTTATGCAATTTCATATCTCAATTATGGTTATAAGGTGACCCATCATATTGTCATAACAAAAACTACACTGATCCAATCATTAAAATAAAGCTACAGAGTAAATCCAGTTAAAGAAAAAGGGCTCACTTATTACTACTTATTCTCATGACATTCATGTATTCAATATAAGTATAAAAGCTATAAATAGCAGTTTATCAGCTGACTTCCTTGGCCCATAGTTATTGCTTTTCTCCTCCTGTAGTACCTTTACAGATAAGAAGCTTCATAATTAAGACTGAACATATTTTGCCATCACTGCATGGTAGTGTAATGACTAAACATATTAGTTGTACCAGGACATGTATCTCTGGGTGATAAAAGCCATAGCAAATACTCATTGTATTGCCGATAGTAAGATTAAAGATATAGCATCTCATACTATATCATACTGTGTCCTAATATCATTTACATGCAGAGATTCATAAATCCCAGTAATTCATTCAGGCTTTTTGCTATTATAAAAGAAGATGACGGCCTGTGATATAACTGTGCTGTATCATTGTTATGAATGCCTCTTATAAGCAATTTGAAATCTCCTTATTTAAATTCTCAAAAGATACCCAAGCTAACAGCAGCTGGTGTGTTTGTGAGGAGATCTAATACTGCATTTAACCCAATTTGAAATCCCCATTAGAACAGTGTAATCACATTTGGAACAGGGACATATTGTCTCCCTTGAAAATTGTTGAGACAGCTTACAGGCCACTCGAGACTTTCCATCTTTAAACACAGCACTGTTGCTCTTATTTTGGAAAAAAGCAGTCAGTTGTATAACACAATGACCACAATCAACCAGATAGGTTTAGCATTTAGCTAAGAATAGGATCAGATATATTCAGAATTCTAAAGAAAAAATGCTGTACTATCACAAGTCTAAAAACCACAAGAAAACATCTTAAATTGCTGTAAAGCAAAAAAGAACGTAAAAGAATAAAGCTGGAGAACAGACACATATTTTTATGTCCATTAAGTGAACAGGCAATTGCAGGAAAACAAGTCACAGATCACAAAAATTTTATGCCTCAATTGATTTATTTATATTTAAAATGTCAGGAAACACATGCACCAAGGTAGGAGTGTGTAATCACATTCAGTAGCCACTCGTGAACCTTTTTATGATTCTCAAAATCTAGTAATGGAGTTAATAAGGTTATTTCAGTGCTCTCAAAAATAGTTTTGATCCATTAAAAACCTTATGAAACATTAGCAATCCTGGGAAAGCAGGTGTAGCCTGCTTTTATTCCATGTCCAAGGCTATTTGCAAACCAGATTTAAAAAGAGTCAACAGAGTGGCCAGTGGAATCAAAGCTCCACCATTTTTGTGTTTGATGGTCAAATGGCAGACATCTTGGCTTTCTGACCATACCTTAAAGATACCTCTGTCTATAAGCCTTGCAATCTTATCACTTTCCTAGGGCAGCCTTTGTCCTTAAAAGGGTTGGCCCTTCTAACTGAAGAAGGAAGTTCTATTAAAATTGTTTCTCAGAATATACACTAAGAGGATGTGTGGTCAACAAGACATGTGGTAAATAATTCTAAATAGGGTTCCAGCTTTAATTTATTTGATGTCTAATAATGAAGATGTCAAAATACCAACTACCAATTTTCCTGTTTCTAAACAACTAGTTAGAAGACTGCCAGACCATGTTTCTTCCTCCTTAAGAAGAAATGCTTAAGCCAGATAGAAAAAGTCAAGTCTTAAGTGCTCTTCTGAAACTCTTCTGAAACTCAGGTGGGAAGACATCAAAAGGAAAATCTCTATATAGACTAAGTTCTAAAGCAAGATGGAAGCACTGGGAAAATGCCAATGCTTCCAGGAGGAGAATGACAGCTCCTGCTGTCATTCTCAGTTAGACAGGATTTAGAGGGAGTTGAGCTTCTTAAATCTAATCAGATAGATATATTAATATAGGAGAAAGTAGTCTCAGAAATAACTAGATCTGAAGCCCCATAAGGCCTTAAAAATAGTAACAAGCACCTTGAATTGTATATGGAAGTAACCAATGTAGCTTCCAAAGCAGTATGTTCAGCCAAATATGGCAGGAAACACCCATCACTGCTTACCCCATCACATTTTGTATCAGCTGTAATTAAAAGATCAGCTCAATTAATAAGAAAATAAATACATATTGGACGGCCAGTTTTTGAACTAGCTACCTTCTTTTTCCTTTGGGAATAAATTATCTGCAGCAATTATTGTAAATAGCTTCAGACTTAAATTGATGAGAAATCCAAAAAATAAAGAAGTTTTGGCCAGACTGGGAAGTTGAAAAACATTCTAGAAGAAAGCAGTAGTAAACTAACTTCATATTGCCAAAAATATCCATGTCCATGAAATTACCAAAAAGTGCTTACTATAGATGTTATGACTGAACATAGTTACGGTATTTTCCGGCATATAAGATGACTTTTTAACACATGAAAATCTTCTCAAAAGTCGGGGGTCGTCTTATAAGCTGATATACTGTGTGCTGAAACTTACTTCCGAGCCGGACTGGAGAAGCTGTCCTTCTCTAGCTTCAGGGACAGGCGCCCTCTAGCTGAGCTACCGTGCGCTGCATCCCGGCCAGCTGCTCCTGGAGCAGCCCCCTCTCCCTGCTCTCAGTGGTTTTCTCATGCCGGCAGTATCACATTGCGTACTACCGCTCGGATCGCCTTGGAGCCAGGGAGGACTGGGAAGGCAGGGAGAGCTGACCCACCCAATCCAAGCAGGCTTTGTATGCAGTGTGCACAGAAAATACATCGCTTGCCGTGATTGGCTGGTTATTGTATACTGGGTTGGATTGGCGATTCTGAGGGAAGGCAGGGGGAAGCAGGAGCATCTGCACTTCAGCCAATTCTAATGTCATACAGTACAGCACCAGTACATACAGTACAGTATACAAATGGCTAACAGTCAAGACCCCATCATGGCTCCACCAGCAAGAAGAAAGAAATATGAAGCCAGTTTCAAACTTAAAGTTGTAAACTTTGCCATGAAACATAATAACTGTGCTGCTGGAAGACAATGTGGAGTAACAGAAAAGATGGTTCGAGACTGGAAACCAAATGAAAAAGCATTAAAGAGTATACCAAGGGGTAAGTGTGCATTAAGAAGAGGCACCCCACATTGGCCAGAACTCGAAAAACATGTAGCAGACATGGTGAGTGAGCATCGCCAAAACGGTTATGTAGTGACACGAAATAAAATACGTTTGTTTGTTCTTCAGTGGGCCAAATCTAACCCAGATCACAGCAACAGATTTAAGGCCACTGTATCCTGGTGTACTAGATTCTTAGAAAGGCATAATATGGTACTGAGGCAAAAGACGAAAATTGCACAAAAATTACCTGCAGATCTTGATGCCAAAGTAAATAGTTTTCATCGATACGTAATACAACAGCACAATAAACATGGCTATGCGTTAAGTAGTATCGGAAATATGGATGAAACTCCAATTAATTTTGATATGGCTGGAAATAAAACTGTGTGTGATGTGTGCCTAAACAAGCCATTTAAAGATCATATTCAAGAACAGTGGAATGAGTAGATGGTTAGTGGTGAAAAGTCATTCACAAAAGGAGGAAACATGCGTGCTCCACAGTTGGATGTTTTGTGCAAGTTTGTCATAAAAGCCTGGAATGATATTGATGCAGAAACAGTAATCAAGTCTTTCAAGAAGTTGGCATATCAAATTCATTAGATGGTATGGAGGACAACTACTTGTGGCAAGATGAAGAGGAAGCCGAAGCTGAGATCACACCATCTGATACGGAATTAGATCCATATGATGACTGCCTTACAAATGTATCACAAGATGTCATTGATGTACTTATGATATCAGATGATGAACAGGAGGATTTTGAAGGCTTCTAAAGGGAAACTGTCACGCCAGCAAAACCTGTAGAAATAGCTTGCAGTTATGATGGGCATTGCTGACTCGCCAGGGACTTGCCCGGCACCGGCTCTCTATTGTTTGTTATCTTCCTCCTATCATCATCAGTTCCAGTTTGGTTGACAGTTTAGAAAACAAACAGCATGGCAGCTCCCATGGGTTTATTGTTTTATCCTTCCTTTCAGCTTTAGAGTGAATTAGGAAAAGTTTAATCCAATTGCACTGTTTTATGTTTACATGTTTGATGACAAACAGCCTTATGTTTATAAGTGACAGTTTTCCTGCTTAAGTACCTGCATGTCATAAGCATTTGAAGTAAAATTACCATATTGAAATCAAATCTGATGTTTTTTAATTTTTATTTGGTGTGCATTGGAAGAGGGGTAGTCTTATACAGCAAGTATAGCCCAAACCCTATATTTTAACAGGAAATGTAGGGAGTCGTCTTATACGCCGGAAAATACGGTACTATGATTTAAAACATAGACCAGCAAATTACTTAACAACTGGTGATCTTATTTGAACAATAACAAAAATTGGGATATTAGTACTCACAAAGAATGGGATAAGACCGGCAGCTTTATCTGCATCTATAACTTTTCTTAGAGCTGAACCACGGGCAGAAAATGAGTCATCTGTCGGAACTTGTTTGATTTTCACTCCAGCAATCAAGACATCCTTTTCAACTGATGAATGAGCCTGCATGATGTGGAATAAAGTTTATTCTAAAATTTAAATTGGGTATCAATTATGTGCTCAAAAATATTTTATAATTACTAGACCAAATAATCAAATCTTGCTAATGTAAATGAAAAATAATAAACAGCAAAAAATATTATGCTCAGTCCTGCAGTTGTGTTCTTTGGTGATTATAACATTACTTAGGCAAATCTTTACCAATTGTAACATAAAATAAATTTTACTCTATTATACCATTCAATAAATTTAAACAATATAAAGTAATCTACAATTAATGAGCTACAAGATCTAGTAAATCATACTCTATGTTTCAAATATCTGTATTTATAATAATGTTTCTATATGTGAAAAAAAATGTTACTTTTAATTATTGAGTATAATTTCTTCGAATAATTTAATGTGTTATCTTTTCAAGAAACTCATCTGGTGTTCTATAGCTATAAAATACTGAATCTATGTCCCTTTCTAGGTACATTTCTTTTTAGAACAGAAATAAATTACTTCAGTCTGCTATCCATAAAATATAAACATAATTCATGTGAAGACATGTCACTTAATGAGAAGGAAACAAAACGTTAGGAAATTCAGGGTTAGATTTAAAATGTAATTTTAAAATTCAATTCATCATGGCATTATTGTAAAATAGGAATCGGAAAGTAGAATCCAATTGATAACCCTGAGTACTAAAATCTTCTCTGCTTGTAATAGCATGACTCTTGATCCAAAAAAAATGCATGCTTATTCCAAATGTGGGAATATTTTACATATAAAAATAGTAAAGGAAATTAAAGGAAAGGAAATATAATGTACACAATTAGTTTAAAAACAAGTTATGTGAACTTATATATTCATATTTCTTTAGGGGCCTTACCAAAAATGAATTATTATTATTATTATTATTATTATTATTATTATTATTATTATTATTATTATTATCCTAAAAAAAACTTTGGAGGGAAAGAGGATGAAACATATGCTTGAATTATTTGACATTTGTTCCAGGAACTTGCTTCCTTGTCAGACCTCATTTTTCTCCTTAGGTTGTCTTCTCTCCCCCTCCTCCCTTGTTTGATTCTTGCTTCACAGATTACTTTAAAAGGTCAAAAATATCTTACAGCAAATCCTTGAATAGACAAAAGAATCCCCTGACATTCAAGTTGCATAGTTTTGTATGTATTTTCCTAATAGATGCATTTTTGCAGGTGATTTTCCCCAGTAGTTTTTTTGGAGAAAGTTGTAAATGCATAAATATGATGCAGTTCTCTTTTATGTTTAGAAATTACAGTTTTAATTAAATTGAATTCACAATGTAAAACTATTTTTTTATATACTTGGATAGTACAATGAAAGTTCAAGGATGAAAAAAAAAAATAAGAAAAAAGCTTGCATAAGTATACTTTTTTTTGTTACTTTAAACATTAGAGCTTATTTTTTCAAAGCTATCAGTTCACAAACAGGATTTTCAAGGAAACATATATACATTAGAAAGGGGAATTTTTTTGTTTATTACCCTGTTTCTCCCAAAATAAGACATTCCCATAAGCCCAATCAGGCTTTTGAGCACATGGCAATAAGGCCAAGCTCTTATTTCAGGGTTCAAAAAAATATAAAACAGGGTCTTATTTTCGAGGAAACGCGGTATAATGAATTTCAGAAATATTTACTTATCTATTATTCATTCATCCCCACACATCCTCCCTGACTCTTGCAGCATGTCCCTCATACTATAGGAATAAAATGCCTCCAATTTTGGGTGCATTTTTAGAATTAATCCATTTGAAGTAAGTTGATTCAAAAATTGTTGTCCTATCATGCACCATTTCACCCAACTGAAGGTTGCAAACAGACCAACATGAAAGTTTCAGTAGTATATAAACAAAGATCTTTCACTCTAGTTTTTTGCTATAATTTTTGTAATATTTCTGAGATGTTTTCATCTTTAATGTTCAGTACTTTGTAGGTGACCTTCATTCATATTTAGAGACTGTAATAAAATAAAATTCATTTAATTTGAACCCTGAGCCCTAACTAACAAAATGAAACTCAATGTAAAGAAAGGTAAAGTTTTATACTTAGGCAAGAAAAAACACATGTACAGGTACAGATTAAATTCTGCTCTGTAATGGAATCTGCGAGGGGAATCTTGGAGTCCTAGTGGACAATTACTGAAATATGAGCCAACTATCTGTGGCAGCAACCAAAAAAGTCAATCACTTCCAAGGCTACATTAACAGAAGGATAGAATCAAAATCATGTGAAGTGTTAATACTGCTTTATAAGGCCTTGGTAAAACCACACTTAGAATACTGCATCCAGTTTTGTTCACCATGTTATAAAAAAGATGTTGAGACTCTGGAAAGAATGAAGAAAAGAGCAAGAAAGATGATTATGGATTTGGAGGCTACAACATATGAAGAACAGTTGTAGGAATTGGATAAATCTAATCCAATGAAAAGAAGGACTAAGAATGACATGATAGCAATTTTCCAATATTTTAGGAGCTGCCATAAAGAAGCTCCTAAAATATTGAATAGCTATTTTCCAAAACACCAGAAGGCAAGACAAGAAACAATGGATAGAAGAAAACTAGAACTAAGGAGAAATTTCCTGACAGAACAATAAACCAGTGGAATTGCTTGCCTTCAGAAGCTGTGGATGCTCCATCATTGGAGGCTTTTAAAAAGAGACTAGAACTCATTTGTCTGAAATGGTATAGGATCTCCTGCTTGAGCAGGTAGTTGGACTAGAAGACCTCCAAGGTCCCTTCCAACTCTGTTATTATGTTAAAATGCGAACAGATTGTGTAAAATAAAATCTGAAATTTCAGAGAGAGAAAACATTTTACACATGCTTATTATAATCCACCTAAGTCACTGAATAATAGACTATCAGAGTTGGAAGGACCTTGGTGATCTTCTAGTCCAACCACCTGCTTGAGCAGGAGACCCTCTACCATATGTTCATATTCATGGCCTGTTAATGATTTAACATCAGATGAAAAGCATTTGAATCTATCTAATACTGTGGTGATGCTGGCGCAAATAAAGGAATTTCAAAATATTGAAGAAAGCAGCCTTTGACATATAAATACTAAACTGCCATTTTTGCCAGAAAAAAAATACATAAATTGGATTTATACGGAATGTTGTCAAAATGATAAAAGATGAAAACCTTTTGTTTTTAAGCTCCAAGTTTTTGAAGCCCTTCTGGCTTTAGAGCTAATTGTGGCACAAAGGATTAGGATTAAGGATAGTTGACATAAAATGCTTTGGAGAAGCTGGTAGTAATGGAAAAATTACTTCTTCTGTACACACTAACATACTTCAATCTCAAATGAGGGATTATTTGAATGGGTATATCTCCTAAATCAGAGAAATTGAAATAGCAATTAAATGAAAACATTTTGCATGCAACTAGCCTTCCCCAACCTACTCTTACCATTGGCCAACCTACTCTTACCATTGGCCCAGTGGTAAAATCCTCCGGTTTGCTGCCCGCACATGCATGTTGCGCACCAAACAAGTGCTGCATGCACACATGTACAATGTGCGCCAAAAGCACGCTATGTATAAGCATGCACAGTGCACACTAAAAGCACCAAACGTGCACTTTGCACAGCAAAAGGAGGATTAATAAGGTAAGTAGAATAGCGAGGGGGGGAACAACTTTGCCACGCGATTTAGATTTGCTAGAAAGCAGGATTTCCTGCTCTCTAGCTAATATAAATCGCGCGGCACAGCTGATCGTCGGAAATACCAGTTCGGATGAACCGGTAGCTTTTTCTACTACCGTTTCATCCGAACAGGTGTAAACCAGTAGCATTTCACCACTGCATTGGCCCAACAATTCTTAGATTTGCAGCCAGCTGAAGAGGTTCCCAGGAAACTTTGGCAATTTGGCACCTTGATTTAGGGTGCCAAATGCCTTAGGCTTCTGCAAGAACTGACATAGAGCAGACAAAGACAGGAATATCTAAGATCTTTTCCTTAATGTTATCTGGAAAGATAAAAAACAAAGCAAGTTCCAAGAATACTGCAAAAACAATAAAAGTCAGTTAACATAATAAAAATGTAGCAAAAATATCAATGTGCTAAAACACCTTTAAAGCTAGAAAGTCCAGCAGGAATTAGCTCCCAAAGACAGGATGAAAATTGGCTGTTGTTGTTCCTTAGAATAAGGCAGCCCTAGGGAAGGTCTTCCTCATGCTCGCTATCTAACTTCCAAGAGGCAGGAGGGCAAAGTATCCCTTCCTCATTTAATACATGGTCAGCCATATATTCTAGGTAAAAGGAACTCTATGGATTGGATCCAAAAATCAAAGAAAGCCAATCCAGCATTCAAAGCACAGATGTAATGATCTTAAAGCATATCTACCCCATCAATAGCCATGCTGAATTAGATAATGTTTCAAGATATCTTCAAAGGCACATCCAAGTATAGCACATCATGATAATCCAATCTAGAATTAACCAGGATAATCATGATCAGGACTCTCTATTTACTGTGTCTACATCACCCAAAGCTTTAGGAAGGCTCCCATAGTCACTGAATCCACATGTTGAATAAGAAAATGAAGCCCCAGATCATTAAGTGAACCTATTCCTCAAAGGGAGGATTACCTTGTCTAGACACATTAGAGCAGGCGTCCTCAAACTACAGTTCATGGGTCATATCCAGTCTACGGGCCGGATATGGCCCACCGAGGTTGCCCTGCCCACATCGCCCTGCCCATCCGCCCACCCTTCAGCTGAGCACAGGACTTACCTTGGCAAGCTGGAAATGGAAGGTAAGTCAAAGAGTTACTGGAGGCAGGGGGGAGACTAAAATGTCCCTGGTTTGGCTGGCAGAAGTCTTCTGGGGGGCGGGAAGGCCAAAAACAGGATGTGCGGATGCCCCAGGAGACCACAAATGGGCCATTTTTGCTGGCAGAAGGCTTCTGGAAGTTGGGAAGGCCAAAAATGGGATGTGCAGAAGCCCTAGGGTGTCTCTGTGCGTCCCATTTTTGGCTGGCAGAATGCAACTGGGGGCTGGGGAGGCAGCCCTCCTGCTGCTACTGCCGCCACCATTGCTCCTTGGCTACCTGTACTTCTCCCGCTTGGTGCTCTGCAGTTGGAAGAGAAGAGGGAGGGAGGAAAAGCTGGCTGGCTGGCTAGCTGGTGAATCAGCACCACTGAGCGCCTGCCTTGGGGCTTCCTCGCCAGATCTGCTCCAAGAGTTGCCTGCCTGATCTGATTCTGTCTGCCAGGCATGCTGAGCCCTTGCCAGAGCCTGTTGCGCACATTCAGCATGTGTAGAGGAAGCTCCTGGACGGCCAGCAAGATTCCAAAAGAGGATTGAGGATTCACAGTGATGTGAATAGAATAGAATAGAATGGGATGGGATGGAAATAGGACAGAATGGAATGGGAATGGAAATAGGATAGGATGGGATGGGATGGAATAGCAATAGGATGGAGTGGAGTAGGAAAGGGAATGGAAATGGAAATGAGAATGGGAATGGAATGGAATGGAATGGAATTCAACAAGGTATCCCAGGGCACTGCCAGGATTGAAGGGTATCCTGCAGAAGATGCCACAGGAGCCAGTCTCATCTCTGTACCCATCAAGCATTCCATGTCCTGGTTTCTCTTTCCCACCCCCATTTGCTCTTGAACTTTAGTTGTACTTGAAATCTTAATTACTGCAGAGGAACTCAAATAGTGGAAAGGGAGGAGGGAGGGAGGGAGGAAGAGAGAGGGGGAGAGAGGGAGATATGTTGATTACTCAAGTTGCATTTTGATTGTAAGCTCCTTGGGGATGAGAAGAATTGTTGCAAAACTGAGTTTCCTGAAGTGGACCACTAGACTCCTAAACAACTTAAAAACGATCTAGTAAAAAGAAGTCAACCAAAGGAGCAACATGCAAACAAAAGCAAATAAAACACTCCCAGGAGCAAACAAATTAAAGTTTAATTTGTGTATATTGTTTAACAGACTGCTAAATTGGCAAAATGGACTGCTAAATTGGCCGTGCCCACCTAGTCACATGACTACCTAGCCATGTCCATCCAGCCAGTCCGGCCCCCCAACAATCTGGGGGACCGTGAATTGGTCCCCTATTTTAAAAAGTTTGAGGACCCCTGTATTAGACCAAGTAATGAACTAAATAATTTCTGGATTAGTGGGTAAGTTTGTCCTGCTGATATTCAGCCTGAATTTGTTTCATCCCATCCAATTTTTAACAGCTCTGAGACCCTGGGTGAAGATATTCAAAGCATCTTTATGCACAGTTTGGTGACATAAATATATTATGCTACTTTCCCATGAACTCAAATATACATATTGAATAATATGGGGCAGAAAAGTGGATATTGAAGTACCCTACATAGTTCTGGACATAAGTCTTTCTGCTGCCCATAACTACCTATTGAAAGTGCCCTATCAGGAAGTAATGGAAAGCAAAATGGTGCTTTCTCTGTCCACCATTGCAAGCTACTCAGCCTATCATGGTTGGTAATGCCCAAGACAGCTGCACTTCCCTATTTAAGGTCTCAGTGGTCATCCCAGAGGAATTGATGCCATTCCAGTCCTATATTCAAATATGAAACCGAAGTTCAGGATTCTCTCTTATCCTTATAGTATATAATGGAATCACCCTTTGGGATGAGAAGAGATGCTGCCTAGAAAACAATCAGAGGCAGGAGCCCCAATGGCCTTATGGTCAGAGAAAAAAACTTAGGAAGGACTGATCCTAATGGATCAAGCAGTTAAAACTGGCAGGTGGGAAGTTTATATTTTTAGACTTGCAATATTTAACATTTTGTTATCTAGCATCAAGGGTTGGCAGGAGATCAGTGTGCGTTGCTCCTGGTTCTGTCTGGTTCTATAGAACCAGTAATAAAGGTAAGTAGAACCCATCCCTGCAGGCGATCCATAGGAAGTTTTAAGATTTAATTTATTTGTATTATTATTGTATATGCTTACAATATTTATGCTTATTTTTACTCTTTTTCCCTTTTTATTTCTGATTCATTTGCTAACTAATAATTAAAGTGACTTTTAATCATGGTGAAAATTAATTGACTAACTTAGCTCCATATTTCTATTCACTGACCAGGTCTGGACATATAAAGGAAACTAGTTTCATCTCAATATGTCTAAATGATCGCTTATTTATTTGTCCAATTTATGTCCTTTCTTTCATTTAGGAACACCACAAAGCATTCATGTTTTTATATTTATAATTGTTTATATTTAGCAATAGCACTTAGACTTATATACTGCTTCATAGTGCTTTTACAGCCCTCTCTAAGCGGTTTACAGAGTCAGCAATATTGTCCCCAACAATCTGGGTCCTCATTTTGCCCACCTCGGAAGGATGGAAGGCTAAGCCTGGTGAGATTCAATCTGCCAAATTGCAGCCAGCCAGCTGTCAGCAGAAGTAGCCTGCAGTACTGCACTCTAACCACTGTGCCACCATGGCTTTTTGTACATTTTTTCTTACATAAACTGCTCTGAGTCATCTTAAACCACAAGATGGGAGTCAAATAAATTTAATAGTAATACCTAATGCCCCTGAAGATATTTTGCCATAAAAAACTTTGTGAAGTAGGCTGAAATGAGAAAGAATTATTGGCCCATGACTGAGTTTCTATAGTTAAGGGTGAATAGAGCCCTAGTCTCCCCTTACCAATCAAACACATTATTTATTCCACCACAATAGTGTCTATTAAAGACCTTCTAAATAATGCTGAGATCACATCTATTGCTTTTGAGATGATACCTAGTGGTTTATTTACTTTTTAATATACCATCAACCTCCAACTGGAATCAATGAGGGGAAAATAGATAAAACAGCAATACTGAAATACTACAAAAATATTTAAATCCATCAAATTACTGTAACACGACAAATCTTTTAAAGAATTGAAGACACAATTCACTAAAGTGAACTTTTGTAATTTACATTGATTTCACTTACTGAAACTATTCTTTTTTGAGCTAACAAGTTCTAATGTCTATATAGATGAATCAGTCCCAATAAAATGTCAGAAGTGAAATAAGATTGCTTGACTGGAATCTGCTAGCTGAGGTATTCTGACAAGTGCAGGTTCCCAGGTGGACAAAGGCTATATTTGGCCATTGCTAGCAGAATTAGATCCGGTGTGGATTTATTGCTGTAATCGCCAGGTGTTAGAACTACCGTGAAGAAAATAATTGCATGAATACTACCTCTTTGCAATGTCAAGAATAACAATTTATTATGTCACTTCCAAAATTACAATAAAATGTCAAATATATATATCTATACTCTCAAGTTCAAGTACAAGAGGAGGAGGAGGAGGAGGAGGAGGAGGAGGAGGAGGAGGAGGAGGAGGAGGAGATGGAGGAGGATTTAAGCAATTTAGACATATTATAAATATGTCATAGATGGTATGACATAGATAGTCTGTAGCATTACATAAAATTAGAATTTGGGGTGGAAAAGACAGAAATAAGTCCAGAATCCAAATCAGACCAAACAAGTGTTTTCAAAGCAGCAAGTTGTTTTTTCTTGCTGCTCTTTGTCTCCAAGGCTCACCTAGGATCAGCTGTAAATGCCACAGTTCTCCAATATTGATTCAGGACACAATTCAGCCTGCATTGCTTATTTTGGATCAAAATGTATCTTTATCAAAATGTATTGTTTGTCAATTCTTTGGTATTGACAGACAATGCTGTCTGTCAGGTATCTGCATTATTGAGAATGATAAAAAAAAAAATCAACCTGAAAATGAAAAGCATAGCATCTTAATGAAATTTTAATCTATGCTGCATGAGTACTATGTATAATTTTATTTCCATATCTACAGTAATGCAGGGAATAATGTACTCACTTGATCAGAAGTATAAGCTACCAGTCGGCCAATAATTTCTCCCTGAGTCAGATTTTCATTGTCTAACTGAATACGATGGATTGCTTTGGTTCGAGCTGCCAGCATGGCAACCAGGGTAGCTTCACTGGCAGTTCCCTGTGATGGAAAATTGGACAGGTTGGATAAGATTTTAAAATTGTCTTAAATTAATAAGGAGTATCCATTGCATTGGTATTGCTTATACAGTACAATTGATGGTACTGAGAATGACACAACAGCAGATCATCTTACTGGTCTAATCAGGGTAAGAATTCCTACTTCCTGACACAAATGTATACAATGCAGTGTGTCATCCATGTTTGCTTGTCAATAGGCTGTAAATGCATTTATGTGAAAGTGCTCTTTGACAGTCCAGGAAAAAGAGGCAGAAACAATATTATACAGTGATCTTCTTTAAATTAAGGGCAGAATCTATTTGATTTCACCTTTCTAAATCATTTTAATTAAAATTAACAGGGTTTGCATTCTTAAATATGGATGGATGCACCCCTAATAAAATGACAATGCAAAAACAATCAACTGAAGGCTCTGGTGAGAAACTTCGCTTTTTAAAATGACACGAATACTAAGGGCACAGTCTATTTCATTTTCTCTACAAACAGAGGTTACTATGGTGAACAGACTCGAGAGCCAGCATATATATTGCCAAATAAAGTCCCCAGCAGACATTTTCTTTCATCTTTAATTGTTTCAAGTGGCACATTTGAAGTAGCAGGCAATGATTTCATATTGATTTGTCCTTTCAGCTGCAATTAAGCACCAATTTTCATAAGCGAATAGTGCAAATAATCATTTGGTTTTAAATCTAGGAAAGATTGACAGTTTTAATATAAAACCCGTGTTTCACATGTCCTTTCCTGTTTTTATCACTGTTATTATGACTGTGCAAAAAGAAAACCATCTGCACAAATTGCTTCCTCTCTGATAATAGCAGGAGAGGCCTTAAACCATCCTCCTTCTGTCCTAAAGATAAACAATGAAAACAGCATCCACAATTACTGGCAATCATGTGTTGTCACTAAAAATGAGTTAATAAACAGATATAAATGTCCCATGTCATCAGCACAAAACACACCTTTGCAAGTTTTTATAAATTTAACATATAAATGCATGGCACTATAATGTAAAGCTAAAGAAAAGTTGTCTGAATATTTCAGCAGAAGATTCAAAGTCTGGCAAGGCTCATTTATAACTTTGTTAAAATACAAAACTCTAAAACTTCATCTGGCATAAAAAAATACAAAGAAGAACAAACTTATTTAACAAATTAACAAAGAAGGAATCTGGCTCCAGTATGAGGCTCCAGTATGAGGCGCTGCCCTCATAAGAATGTCACATTTGCATGCAATGAACTGGGTAACAAAAAGTTCTAGGACTCATTTATATATGCACAGACCTTTGACTACTGAAACTTCAAAAGATAACTGTATATGTGAATGGGAAATTAAAGAATAATTCAGTCAGATCACATTTTTATCACTTATCAAATATGCAGTAATCAGGCACAGAAAAATCATATGTGTGGATTTATTTATTCATTTATGATCAATATAAATAAATCAAATAGAAATACTAAAATCAGAAAACATGCCAGACCTAGAGGCAAGCAAATCCAGCATTTGAAACTTGGGTTTCATATATTTATTTAATTTCATTATTTATCAGTGTCTGTGTCTTGAGATGCATTGGCACCTCAATCTGGAGATACAGAGATAGTCATAATTATGGCATGACAATTTACACTTTGCCAGATAATAATTGAGAGCCAATTTGGTGTAGTGATTAAGACATCAGTTTGAAACTGAGGATGTTGAGTTATTCTCTTGTCTTAGGCTCAAAACCAGCTGGTGATCTTGAGCCAGTTACTTTCTTTCAGCTCAAGGAAGGAGGCAATGATAAACTATTTTTGAAAAATGTTGCCAAGACCGCAGGAACTCCTCCAGACAAACTCCGATAATCAGACATGATTAAACAGAAGAAAAAAATCATAATGCAAACTTCCACAAATTCATTTTAAACAGTGGATACCAATCTACTTCCTAAATGATAATTTAGCAGGCTGTTGAATTGAATTACTAAATTTTGAAGAATTTAAGAATTTAAGTCATAATCTAACACAGAATTTTATCCCACTGATTTCAATAAACAGAAGTGTATTTAACACTGAGTTAGTGGTATAGATTAGAACTTCTTTGGCCCTCCATATTTTGACAAATTACACTTCTTGTCAATCAAGCCAGAATAACAATTGATGAGAGAACTTAAAAACCATGTATCATAGTTTCCCCATTCTTAATTTACACACACTCAGGTATACCTGCAATCCAGAGAACTATATGAAATAAAGTTGATGTATGAAATAATGCTGATGTAGACTTATTCTTAAAATATTCCTCTTTCCCAGATATGTCTTTTATTTCCCTTTTCTACCTACTTTATTCCATCTTCTATCTGACCTGAATTTCATTCCCCCCCCCCAAATAGCCACTGGGCTTCTCTAAGCATTCCCTTTAATATTTTTTTGGGATAATGTTATCTCCATCACTGCAAAATCTGGGTTTACCCTAAAAATCTTTAGTTTTTTTTCCACTTTGTGTAATCATCCTGTTTTGGACAGAGTTCTGAAATATTCAGGTAACTGAATCAGAAAGAGAGAAAAATAACATTATTATATTTAAAAAGAAAGAATATAGGAGCCTTGGTGGCGCAGTGGACTAAGTGCTGTTAAAGTAGTACTTAGCTGCCAGCTGCCTGCAATTACTGCAAGTTCAAATCTCACCAGGCTCAAGGTTGACTCAGCCTTCCATCCTTTCGAGGTAGGTAAAATGAGGACCCGGATTGTGGGGGCAATAAGCTGACTTTGTATAAAAAAGAACACTGCTGGGGGGGGGGGGAAGCTCTACTAAGCAGATATATACAAAAGTATGAAGGCTATTGCTTAATGCATTGCCTTGCGTCTTCAGAGAAAGTTGAACAAATAAATAAATTGTAAGCCGCCCTGAGTCTCCGGAAAAGGGCGGCATATAAATCAAACAAACAAACAAACAAACAAACAAACAAACAAATAAAACGACAATGTATACAATATAATATTCTATTCACTTTAGATACAACCCAGATCAAATTCAGTAGCAAATATTCTAAATTACCTGGATTACCCCACCTCCTTCTCCATCTTTCCCAGCCAGAAATTGTGGAGGCAAATTGATCATCTTTCCTAGCCAATCCATCATGACTGTTTCCAATTCGGTACAAGCTGGGCTTGATGCCTAGAATGGAAAAACATGTAAAAAGAAAAGAAAAATCTCTAGTGATTTCTTTAGATTTCAGAAGGGTGCACAGAATAGAAAAGCAATGAAGCATGGGTGTTTCGAGGGTAACTCAGAATGTTACATAATTTGTGAGTGGAAAAAAAAGAGATAATTAATGATCCATTTGAGTAACTACATATGATAGGTATATTAACTCATTCTCATAAAATTTTGAACTGTAGATAAAAGCTTGTCAAAATCTGAAATCACACCTTATCAAGCAATTATATATATACATATGATTGCGTGTGCATCAGTGGTGGATTTCACTTACCTTTGCTACTGGTTTGCTCGTGCGCACACCACTTCTGTGCATGTGCAGAAGCTTCTGCGCATGCACAGAGTGTATTTGATGACGTCTGGGTGGGTGGGCGGAGCCTCCCGCCACCGCTGCTACCAGTTCTCCCGAACCGGGGTGAACTGGTAGCAACCCACCATTGGTGTGCAGATATATGTACACACAAACACACAGATAGAGAGAGAGAGAGAGAGAGAGAGAGAGAGAGAGAGAGAAAGAAAGAGTGTGAAGAGGGAGATAAATATGTTTTTTTGAGTATACTAGAACTTCTCTACTGGTAATCTTCTTTATATAATTATTATCAGGATTCAAAAAGGCAGTTAGAGGAGCTACGTACGGAAAGATTGCTGCTTAATTTTATACAGCTTTCAACATTCTGAGACTGAATTACCCTCATAATCATTGTTAAAGGACATATTCCCAGAATATTGCTTCCATCTGATCTAAGGTTGCCATGGAGGCAGCCTGATATCAGATGTTCTGGTTTTCATCTTCTCTGATAAAAAGTCTTCCTATAGGAAACTGTTTCCACATAGACATACTGTAGGTGCTATCTTGTAGCCTAGGCTAGAAACTACTGAGAGTTTTAGTTTTTTTTTATTTTATGCAAAGGAAATACTTTTGTACATGCGGTAATGTTAAACCCTATATTTCTACAGGTAATCCTTGATTTACAACAATTCATTTAATGACTGTTCAAAGTTACAATGGCACTGAAAAAAGTGGCATATGACTATTTTTCATACCAGTCACATGATTTACATTTGCATGTTTGACAACTGACTCACATTTATGACAATCGCAGTGTTCTGGGGTCATGTGATCACCTTTTGCAACCTTCTGACAAGCAAAGTCAATGGGGGAACTAGATTCCCTTAGCAACTGTGCTACTAATTTAATAACTGCAGTGATTCACTTAACAGATGTGGCAAGAAAAGTCGTAAAACAAATTTCTCATTTAGCAGCATAAATTTTGGGCTGAATTGTGTTCATAAATTGAGCACTACCTGTATTGAAGTGGTAGAGCTCTCTCATAATCTACCACTTCAGTGAAAACTAAACTGTTGAAAGCCATGTAGCTGATCTGTGACTTCTCTGTGAAGAAAATATCTCCAAAAATCCATAGATATCTAATAATAGATTTGAAATATAAAGGCATAAGCAGTCATTGTAGCTGCTAGGAACTAGTTCTTTCATGCCCACATAGAACCTACCCATGAAAATCCAATGCATCCTATGGCCCCAGATAACATATCACCCAAAAGAGCAGGGAAAGAGTTGGCAGTAGGAAAATAGGCGAAGAAGTAGGGACTGTGCCAATGAGTCACCTGTGGAAAAGAATACAAACAAACATTTATCAGAATGAAAAGTGTTTTGATTATGAAATCATCACAAGGCCTTGCTTTAACAAGCATGTTAAAAAAAGTACTGATATTGCCCAATTGTCAGACCATTCGTTGCAAATTATTTTGCAACCAAGAACCAAGTGGTCAACTATGTCTCCTAGTTTGCATTAAGATTCCTGGCATGAAGTACACCTAAACTTTTTTACCTGAAGCCAAGGTGAGCAATTCAAATTGAAGCAATTTTGGTACTTTTGGCAAGTTATGTCCACACGGTTTTAAAAAGGTGAGGGCTTATCTTTGTCTTTTACTAACATTTTAAAAACATCAGGGATTTACTTAATCTCATACAGCTATCTCATACAATCTCATACAGGTGAGTTTATACAGCTATTGAGCCAATAAGTTTTAAGAGACATCTCCTTTGATCATTATATAAACAGAATATAGCTACAAAAAGCTACTTATTTTCCAAGCTGCTCTTAACTTTTCATTTTGTTTTATATAAGGTTTAAATTGTACAAAGCAACTTATGGACATATACAACACCTTGAAGTGTGGATAGAAAACCTTTATAGACTAGCCATATTGGAATTGTAGAAAATAATGTATAATTTGCCAATCATTACTGGCCTGGTAAAATGCAGCCTGTTATATTCCACAAAATGAAATAATGTATATCTAATAGAATAGCTCTAACAGACATTGAATGCCACCTTCATATGGCATTGTTGATCTAATATAGGAGGAGGACTTGGAGAGCTCAGAAAGCCGTTGTAGAACAGAGACAATGCAGCTATAGGTGGCATCTCTCTGGAGTAAGAGCAGTGGTGGGATTCAAATAACTTAACAACTGGTTCTCTGTCCTAATGAATGGCTGGGTGGGCATAGCCATGGTGGGCATGGCCAGGGGGTGTGATAGGCAGCAGTCAGCCTCCTGCATCCCCTGGGAGCAAAAAAGAGCCATGGGGGGGCGCATTGCCCCCCCATGTCCCGTTTTGGCCTAGTAGGCCTCCCTGCAGCCTCCTGGGAGTGAAAACGGGCCATGGGGAGGTGCACTGCATCTACCCGCACCCTGTTTTGGGCCTAGTAGGCCTCTCTGAACTTACCTGAGAGCCAAAATGGGGTGCTTAGGGACTTCTAGAAGGGGTGGTGAGGGGAGGGGCCAACCAGCAATGTAACTACTGGTTCACCCGAACTGACCCAAACTGGCTGAATCCCACTACTGAGTAAGAGTGTCTTATAAGAAGATAGGATATTACTGGAACATAAGGCCTTATTTTTAAAGGTGGACCAGAGGGGTCATTAGGATTCAGGATGGAATGGAAATTTTAAAATACTGTCAATTGTCCCCTTCATAGGTTGTCTTGCAATGAAGGGATGAACTGACCTGAAAAGTGCTAATCCATTTTGTGCTTTTATTAAAAGAAAGAAGAGTGGGGCAGGACAGGACCAGGACAAAAAAAAATTGCAACCTAGTGTATCCAAATGCAACACATTCGTGTAAAATATACATATCAGCACTTGTGAGAATTCTAGAGCCCTAGTCAGGTTCTGCCTCATTTTATGTTTAAAAAGAATCCTTTTGTCCCTCTTAGCACTAAAACTAAAATTTAATGATGTAATATCATTGGCAAATCAAATTAATTCATGATAAGGGATAAACCTACCCATTCCTTGAACTAACATAATTTGCCTCTAATTGCAAATATGATAATTGTGGCTGCATATTCAGGTTGTTAACAAAGAAACAAAAATAATTCCATGCCACAATTAATTATGGATATAGAAATTGTTGGGGGGGGGAGTTAATATTATAGGACATTGTAACATTTATATTTTGGATTATATTGATGGAATCTGCATTGTATTTCTTTTTTAACACATATAGCTTATAAAATATTACTATAAGCTACTGTAAATATAGAAGCAATTGACAATGTACAGTAAATTAAATAAATCGGATCTGATCAAATAGCCTGGAAAACATTCTTTATTGAAAGCCACTTTTTTTCCTATTAAAATGTTCATTAGATAATATTTAGCTTATTATTAGAATATCCTAAGGAACGCAGTGGCTCGGCGGCTAAGATGATGAGCTTGTCGATCAAAAGGTCGGCAGTTCAGCGAATCCCTAGTGCCATGTAACAGGGTGAGCTCCCGTTACTTGTCCCAGCTTCTGCCAACCTAGCAGTTCGAAAACATGTAAAAAATGCAAGTAGAAAAATAGGGACCACCTTTGGTGGGAAGGTAACAGCGCTCCGTGTGCCTTTGGCATTTAATTGTTCTTTATTGAAGAGCTTTATTTTTCTTTCAAACATTTTATATGACTTTCCAACATAATCAGAGATTCAATTGAATCAGTTTCAGATCAAATCTGCCAATAAAAAAATACATTTGATTTTCTACACTACAGACCTTTTGATACCTCTAAACAAGCTATCACAATAATAGTAATTGTTCTTTGAAGCTAGTTCCACTAACATTTTAACTCATATATCTAGTGATTGCAATGTTACAGGCACTTAACATAAAGCACTGAACTCCTTCTAAAACAAATACAGTATTTCTACTTGAGGTCAGTATTACTATCTTAAGTTTGCAATAGTGGCAAATATATGTAGCTCAGGTAAAGAATGAGCGTGGGAGTCTTGTGAGTTGATTTCTGAATGTTTCGTTACCAGGTTAGGTAACATCTTCAGTGGAATTTAGGAAATGTCAGCGCTGATGTTCGCTTATAAGGGCTTTGTATGGTCAGTAAGTCTTGTGATGGGAGTATCACGTCAGATGAGAGTCTAGTGATGGGTCGGGTGATTGGTCAGGAGAAGGTCTTCTGATGGGTCTTGTGAGGGGCGATATGTGAGTCATGTCAGGTGAAGGACTTGTGATGATTCTTTTGATAGGGAAGTGAGGTGAAGTGCTCTTCAGGGGGATTGTGGGCTGGTTGAAGATTGGTGCTGTTTCTGATTGGTTGTGCAGTTGTTTTGAATTGTCAGGAGTTTATAGGTTGCTTGTAGTTGTTGTGTCTGTTGATGTAATTGCTTATGGAGTGCCAACTTTCAATAAACTTGTGAGCATGGTGGGTGGTATCATGGCTGATGATTCTTGTATTACTCCAATCGAATTGGTGCTGTTCAGTGGGATTTGGGATTGTGGCATTTGATTGCCAGCTGGTGATCATGGATCCTGGTTTTCAATTGACATGATGTTTGTCCCACATAAATTGTTTTCGATTGTGATGGTTGATTTTGTAAATTACATTGCTTCTTTCATTGTTCTGTATCTTGTCTTTGGTTCTAGATAATTGGCTGTGGGTTTGTGGATTCTTGTTATTCCTAGAGCTTGGAGAATTCTGGCTGACATCCCTTTTATGTGTGATAGGCTTAGTTTTTGTGTGGTGGTTGACTGTGTTTGTTGTGGTTTGGGTGCTGTGTGACAGAATATAAAGTTTTTGGGATAGCCTTTGCAGAGAAAGACATCAAATAGCCATTTCTCTTCCGCTTTTTTTAGTGCTGTGGTGCTGCAATACATCCCCGCCCTTCTGAAGAGGGTCTGAACACAGCTTCTTTTGTGTGTGCTGGGGTGGTTGCTTGCAAAGCTGATCTCGTCCAGGTGTGTGGGATTGTGGTAGATGTCGGCTTCCAGTTTTCTGTTGTTTTGTCTTCTTATGTTGATGTCAAAGAATGGGAATCTTTTGTCTGTTTCCTCACATCAATTGAAAACCAGGATCCATGAACACCAACTGGTAGTCAAACACCAAGACCCCAAATTCCTAATCTGACAAGGAACAGCACTAATTCGATTGGAGCAATACAAAAAACATTGGCCTTGCTACCACCCACCATACTTAGGAGTTTATTGAAGGTTGGCATTCCACAAGCAATTCCATCAATAGACACATTGATCTACAACCAGGCTACAAACCTCTGACAATTCAAATCAACTGCACAACCAATCATGATAGCACCAACCCTCAACCAACGCGCAACCGCAGCCAGCAATGGTGTTCACCTGACGTGACCTCCCCATCACAAGAGCCATCACAAGACCCTCACCTGACCTATCAGAGGACCTTGATGTGATCCACATACCTGATCTACCACAAGACCTATCATTAGACCATCACCTGATATGACTCTCCCATCGCAAGACTTACTGACCACACAAAGTTCTTATAAGCAGAAGAACATCACACTGACATTCCCTAAATTCTGCTACTAGCCTGGTAACAAAATGTTTGGAAAACAACCCACAAGCTTGGAGTCTGGACATCCACTCTTATCTTAACTTTCTTGTCATCAATATTAAAAGTAAAATCTTCAAAACTGCTTAATTAATATTACCCCAGGCATAATTATTCTTTCAACATCTTTAAGGATGTCTTCAAATCTTTCAGGTGTTTCAGGAGCAAACTCTGGAATGAGGGCTCTTAAATAACCTGGCTCTACATCAGGATAGACCTGTCGTTCCTCTATCTTCTCAATGTAATCTGCAATGTAATCCACCATCTCTTTTCCTCTTTTTCGAAATTCTGTGGTATCCATTTCAGGATTTCAAGCAACCTAAAAGAAACACATTGACAATTTGAAAAAAATGCACAGGTATATTTGTCTTATCTCCTTTATATATGAAACTAATTGCAAACCAAGAACCAAGAGCCAATGTTCAGATAGGATTTTTTTTTTTTACATTATCCCAAAGACAGGAATTTACAGTATGGCATCCAATAGTTTCCATCTCTTTAAAATAAATAAATAAAACAAAAGCAGACAAGTAGTGAGGGAGAGCTAATCATTAAAAATGGAAAGCCAGACATATGAAAGCATGTGCTGTTTGGACTACATGTACTTTTGAATATGGAGGTAATAAATTGTTGTTGTTGTTGTTGTTATTTAGATTTGTTATAGACACTGAACTCTAAAAATCTCTAGGCATGAGAAGCAAAGAAAACAGCACAATACAGTTTATAGACAGTATAATATTAACATCAAATAAACTTTGTGCTCCTTCCTTCCTAGTCAGGAAATCTGAACATGTTAACATACAGACCTTTTTCTAAGCCAGCAACATATAGCACTTCCCAGGTTAGGGCTGCACTGAGGTTTATTCTACCAGAATTGCTGACTCATCCTGATCATATGCATGTATCTGCTTGCCCTTGCAAAGAGCAAGAAGGTTATCATATCTTAACCTTAATAGGCTTTGCTTATCTACCCCCAGAACAAGGTCAGGCAAAGAACAAGGAGTGCTTTGTTTATCCCAGGTGGCTCTAGCCAAGGATGGAAGAAACATGCCTACCTACTCAGGTGATTCATATTAAAGGCTAGACAAGTCAATTGATCGAGTCTGCTAAACACTTAAATATCTTTCATTTTCCAACTATTGTATGAAAATACAGAATTTTATTAACCTATGGAAAGAGCCATAGCAATACAAATCTCTTTCTCGCCAACATAGGACTATTACCACTACATAATAAGAAAACAATGGGAAACAGAGAAGAAGAAATTAAGGACATTTAATGCAATATAAATATCAGGCACAAATAACCAGGAACCAGAGTTCAGTTCAAAGCACTAAAAGTTTATTAAATGCTCCCTATACACAAAATCTGGTTTACTTAACAGTCAAGAGAAATTGGTACTAGATAAGAGTCAAAGGAATTCATAGGGGGCCTGGACGTAATAATAGGTGACTGCAAACTGAAGATGCATTTGACCCTACCTTTGTCTCTGTCTGGTCATCTCCTACAATAGCCATATAAGCTTTATTTATCTATACTTTTTAACTATGATGGCTGAAAAGTTTCTTAAAATATTATGCAAAAGTTGAAAAACATTAAATCCAATTACAGTATAGCAAAAATGGAGATTACTTAATGTCACTCACATGACATTGTCCTCCTGGAGGCATTTAGCAAATTTGCATGGTGGAAACTTACATGCACACAACATAGTGTATATTGTTAGGCTCCAAATAAGTTAGGATCATGATAATGAAAATTGCATTTATTTATGTTTTCTCTCCCCAAACACTGCATGTTCACTGCACTAAAAATGTAATGACTGCAGAAAACAGCAGTGTTAACAAGAGCTGGAGGTATTATTCAGAACATTATTGTAATTGTCATTTGTCATTTAGTGTATAATTATTCCTGCACAGATAGTTATCTTATTTGAAGACAGTCTTACAATGAAGATAAAATCATCAGCACCACAGCAATCTACAAATTCTGGGATATTTGGGGGGAATATTGTGGCAGTTCAAGTAGTGTAATATACATGTGTTTTGTGTAAATGAAAAACATAGATATTTGCCTTTAAAAACGTCTGGTGTTGCTATAGACCCTGTCTTATATTTTTCTGAACCCTGAAATAAGCGCTTGGCCTTATACTGTAATAGATTGTTGTGGGTGAAATGACTATAACACAAAAAATTCTTGGGATGTAGATTAAAATGGGATACAAAAAAACAAAAACCCATCTTAAAAGCAGACAAGCTACCCTGTTTCCCCCCAGATAAGACATCCCCTGATAATAAGCCCAATTGGGCTTTTGAGCACATGGCAATAAGGCCAAGTGCTTATTTCAGGGTTCAAAAAAATATAAGACAGGCTCTTATTTTCAGGGAAACATGGTACTTTTATACTGTTACCAAGAAAATTACATGGGCAATTGTTATTTAGGCTAAACACATCAAGACTTTTTTCTTATTATATAATATGCAAAAGAATTGATTTTGATTACAGACAAAGACTCAGTCAACAAGTAATGAAGTCAATAGTGCACTGAAGTGGCCAAAAGTTTTGTTCCATCTCACTACTACCACCCAACATCACATACTGTATGCCCAAGATATGCAGATTTCATAGACATGTATATGCTAGATATCTAAAAATATTATAATTATTGATATCTTTCTCATTTTTTGTATGAGAAACTAAATGCTACACAGAAAAACTAAAATAGTTTTTCTGTGTAGCATTATTTGTTGCTTTATTTTCATTATTTTAAGTACTACACAAAACACTGAATTAATGAGTTAATAGGAGAGGTATCTAAATATTCCCAACAAAACAATTTAAAGTAACTAACTTGACTTACAGACTGAAAGTTCTTCTTAAGAAAAGAGCATTTCTACTTAAATTAGATAAACAGATGATTATCCATAGGAGTAACACTGTACACTAGCATTCTAATTGATTAAGGCAATCAACTCCTATAAATTAAATATTTTGAAAGAGCAAATGCTAATCCAATTATGACTAGAAATCTAATTGATTTTTATATTAAAGAAATTTCAATTCCATTGTTTCATTATTATACAAAGAATATAACAGTACAGCCCCACTTGGGGAATCTCATCAACCACTTTCTGATATGTTTCCAACCTTATAAATATGTAATATATTTTTCCATGACATTTTCCAAACTCTTATAAAAATAATTGAAAGAATGATATAATATGGCTTTTCAATATTACTATTACTACTACTTCAAGAATACTTTAAAAATATTAATAACCTCCTTACTTGCAGAAGAAGGAAGGGGAAGCAAGGTTTTTTTTAAAATTAGAAATCTACAGCACAACCACATTTAATAGTTCAGTAATTAAACCAGGAATTAAAACAGGAATAAAACAGATTCAGCTGATATATTAGGATAGAAGAAGAGAAAGAATATATTAAAATTGATTTTAATAGAAATGTCAAAATAATGAATATTATTCTCATTTTTGTAATTAAAATATTTACATTAATTTAAGAAAACAATTTGCACATTTGTGTGTGCCTTCAAGTAATAATACCAGTAGTGCTACTAATACTACTTAATTTTTAATTTTCTTCTTTCATTTTAAAGTTTTTAATTTATCTAAAAAGATAAAGTTCCTTTAGGTTGAAATATTTAGGTTAAGCTCAAGATCAGGTCCAATTATTGTGAGGATAAAGCAAATAATTAAGCAGTTGTTTTTACCTTTCTATAAATCTCCAGTATTGCTAAAGTGTGATTAAGAGTATATTTGTTATTATTATATGTAAAGTTGGTGCATTATATGTATTTTACTATATTAAAGCTTAATTTTTCTGTACTATACACTTACTATACAATTTTTCTGTAATGTACAGAAAATCAGTATATTTATATATACTAACCTATTTCTTCCTTAAATGCAAACATCTTACAAGATATCAAAAAGCCCAAGCAGAACAATAAAATGCTAACATTAGTATACTGACTAACTGAATCCTCACTGAAATACTGCTATCTGGGAGATGTTTTTCATCAAGATCCAAGCCAGGAATGATTACATTGAGATGATTTCAATAACTAAGTTTAAATGGTAAAGACTTTTACTTACTGTTTGAGAGATTTTGTTTTCTCTGTTTCCCCAGCTGCTTTCTTTGTGACAGTTATAAGAAGAGGATGCTCTTGTCCATTTATATTGAGAGTAAGTAATTTCCATGAACCAATCAGAGAGCGCTTTGCAGTTTAATATTCTAAGCATCACACTTTCTCTCCTGTTCTTCATCCATTCATTTGTACTCAACACAAACACTATGCCAAACCCAAAGCAAATAAATATTTGCTGGGAAATTGAACGCAGTATTCATCTGTGGTTGATCAATTGTCTTTCATTATTGCAGAAGATTCTAAATGTACTGTTTTAAATGGGCATACAGACATTCATTTAAGAAAATATTTGAGCACAATTAGTGTCCCACACTGTTATATTTGAGCGTGTGGAGAATAGCTTTCTAAGCAACATGCTGGGCACACATCAATCAAAGGCCTATCTGTAGACACAGGATTAATATAGAGCTGTATCTATTGAAAGCTTTATGAAAACTGTGTTTCATTTATAAATCCACGGAACACAAATGGAAAGACTGTAAACCAAAAGGAAGCAAAACAGAATGAAACCCAGAAACAGATGTTAGATCATGCAATTTTTCTTCAAACATTACAGATGGGCATTGCAAGATTATTATTTTCTTATTATGCAGTATGCATTCCAGTTATCTCTGGAAAACAGAGGAGAGGAGAGGAGAGGACAACCTTGCTTTTCTCCACATTAAATTTCATTTTGTTGGATAGGGGCCATTGTTCACGTCTGTCGAGATCTATTTGGATCCTGAGCTTGTCTTTTGGGGTGTTGGCTATTCCTACCAGTTTAGAATCATCTGAAAATTTGGTAAGTTCCCCTGCTATTCCTTCATCTAAGTCATTTATCAAAATGTTGAAGAGTACTGGACCTAAGATAGAACCTTGTGGTATCCCGCTGCTTACTTCCCTCCTTGTAGATGTAGTTCCATTAAGGACTACTCCTTCAGTACCGTTTATCAGGCAGTTACAAATCCATCTGGTGCTGATCAGTGTGGGTTCCTCTCAGTTCGGTCCCGTTCGGCCAAGCCGGTAGCGGTGACGATATGACGTCACTGAACCAGTTCTCTTTGTCTGGGAGCTGGGCCCTCCTGCCCATTCCTGCGTTATTCCTACCTTATATTTCTTTATTTTTAGCCCAGCTGATAGGTGCAGCAGAGTGG